CACAAGGGAAAGGGATAATGAATGTCAAACCCTTATTACATACTTGGTCAAATAAAGAATATTTTATAGACCTCCTCTCAGCATGTAGATAAATTAGATACTTTTCGTAACGGTACAACAAATAATATCCAACTGGGATTTCAAGCTGACATATCATTTTCCTTGCATGTTAGTAAACATATATTAAGTATTGTTCTTCAAGCATATAAAATTCTTCTTCATTAAATACTCAAACAAACCACGCAATGATCTAATTGTGAACTCGGAAACAGTATTTTCTGTTATGTGAAGTTATCGCCCTTATAATTTTAAATTACTTTCGTTTTTTGCATAAATAAACAATTCTGCTAAATCCATTTTAAAGTAAAAAGACCCAGAATAAACATTTTATAATTTCTTTTAAAATAACGATGTTAATTTTCTATTTGTCGTAGAATAAGTATTTTTCCCATTATATTTTATTGTAAATAAACTATAAAACATCTATGTATTATGCTTATATAGAATTTATTTCACAAGGAGTAAGACAGACAAGAAATAAATAAAGAGAGAGTGAGAAAGTGGGGAGTGAGGGAGAGAATGGGAGTGAGTGAGTGGGAGAGAGGGTGAGTGGGAGAGAGAGTGAGTTAGTAGGAGAGAGAGTGGGTGGGTGAGAGAGAGAGAGAGAAAATGGGTGAGAGGGAGAGAGAATGGGTGGGAGAGTGAGTGGGAGAGAGAGGGGAGAGAGAGGGAGTGGGGTGAATGGGTGGGAGAGAGGTGTTGGGAGAGAGAGAGAGAGGTGAGTGAATGGGAGAGAGAGTGACTTAGAGAGTGGGTGGGTGGGAGAGAGTTGATGGGTGAAAGAGTGTGGGTGAGAGAGACTGGGAGGGAGAGTGAGAGAGTGGGTGGGGTGGTGAGTTAGTGAGTGTTAGGGAGAGTGGGTGTGAGAGAGAGTGAGTGGGAGAGAGGGCATGAGTGGGTGAGAGAGTGACTGGGAGAGAGATTTGGAGAGAGAGGAAAGAGAGAGAGATAGTTAGGAGACAGAGTGAGTAAATGAGGAGAGAGAGAGAGAGAGTGAGTAAGTGGGGAGATTATTGTGTCTGGATAGGGTCATTTGCAAAAGCTCAATAGTGTGTTCAGAAAAACGCGCCATTGCACACAGCACGCCATCACGCTAACACAATTATACAAAACACGTCATAGCGCTTTCTTATACACAACACGCTGTTGCGCTAACACGCACCATAGGAGACAGAGAGAGAGAGAGAGAGAGAGAGAGAGAGAGAGAGAGAGAGAGAGAGAGAGAGAGAGAGAGAGAGAGAGAGAGAGAGAGAGAGTTAGTGTGGAGACAGAGAGATTGAGTGGAAAGAGAGTGAGGGGAGAGAGAGTGAGGGAGAGTAAGTGGGGAGAGAGAGATAGTGAGTCGGGAGAGAGAGAGCAATTGGGAAGACAGAGAGAGAGAGTGAGTGGGAGAGTGAATGGGGAGACAGAAAGTCAGTGAGGAGACAGAGAGTGAGTGAGTGGGGAGACAGTGAGTGAGTGGGGAGACAGAGATAGTGTGGGGAGAGAGTGAATGAGTTGGAGAGAGTGTGAATGGGGTGGCAGTTGGGGAGAGAGTGGAAACTGACATGGAGAGAGAAGGGAGAAAGAAAGATCTTGATTTTTGTTTCATTTCTGTTTAAACCGTTCACGGTAGCTCAGTTGGTAGAGCGCTCGCTCCTTGATCGGGAGGTCGGGAGTTCGAATCTCGGCCGCGACAGACCTAAGTCGATAAAAAATGGGTAGCAACTGTTTCTTCGCTATGCACTCGGCACTTTGAAGTTAAAGTTGCGGGTCCTTGGATGAGACCTTAAAAACCGAGGCCCCGTGTCACGGCAAGCGTTGGCACGATAAAGAACCCTCACTGCTCAATGGCCCTAAGTGCCGAGTAATGGTCAAAATTTGAAACCCTTAAAAGTAAAGTCTACAAGTTTGTCGAATTTTGATAATAGTGCTACAATTTTTAAAACAATTTTTTTTTTTCTAATTTTTTGTTTTCCCAATTTTTTTTCAATTTTTTTTAAATTCCTTATTTTAATTCGATTTAACTTTAAGTTTAAAATTTCCAGTTTTATACCATTTTCTTAATGTCATTTTATTTAAAGATATTTAACGATTAGCGGGTTCCAGTAAAAGCCTTTCTAAGCCTTTTTCCTTACTCCTCCTAAAAAATTAACATCAGTGAAGGAGAAACTTCAGGAGTATTGTGCAACAATATATTCGAGGAATGGTGTAAATCATATGTGGATACTTAAAAATTCCAGAAACTTTTGGAAAAATTAAATTCACAAAATTTTACATCCCCCCCCCCCCAAAAATGCGCATATAAATGTACGACTTTTTAACTCTGTATACAACCATTCCACACGATAATTTTAAGTCCAGGCTTTTTGACATTATTGACAACTGCTTTTTCAATAAAAATGGAACTTGTAAATTTATTTACCTTGACATTGGTCATTTACAAAATTATTTTGTTAAAAAACATTCTGATTGTAAACACAAGTACTATGAAGTTGATATTAAAAAGATGCTTGAGTTTCTGATTGACTATATCTCTGTGGTTTTTGGAGATCAGGTCTTCCAACAATCTGTTGGAATTCCCATGCGAACCAATTGCGCCCCGTTATATTATTAGCAGACTTATTTTTGTATTCAAATGAAGCAGAATTTATTCAAAATCTTATACATGAGAAGAAGAAAACACTTGTTGTGGCCTTCAACTCGACATTTAGATATATCGAAAACATATTATCAATTAACAATAGTATTTTTTTTCAATTCATATGTCGACAAGATATATCCCAGTGAGTTTGAAATTAAAGATACCACAGTCTGACACATCTGTTTCATACTTGGATATTTTACTATAGAAAAAGACGTTAATGGTTACCTAACAAAAAAAACCTTCATGATAAATGTGATGACTATAACTGTTTAATCGTCAACTTCCCTTACTTATGCAGCAATATACCCTTATCACCTGCATACGGGGTTTATATCTCTCAGTTGATTCGTTACGCAAGAGCATGCTCTACGTATCTTCAATTTCTAAAACGAGGTAAATTATTGACAAACAAGTTGATGAAACAAGAATATCAGCAGTTTCGTTTAAAGTCGTCATTTCGTAAGTTCTATGGTCGATACAAATGACCTTCGTCAGCAAATACAATTTATCATTGAGTCAAATGCTGACTGACGTTTTTCATACTAATTGTTAGGCCATTATTTACACACTGAATTGTCGACGGATTTTTCCGTTATTTCCTGATCATGACAAGGAGCACACGGCGGGTGTGACCGGTCAGCAGGGGATGCTCACTCCTCCATGGCACCTGATCCCACTTCTGATGTTTTAGAGGTCCGTGATTGCTCTGCTCCAAAATTTGTATTGTTTAATGGAACTTTTGAGCTTGAATACTGTTCGTTATCTCCATACATTTTATGTATAATGTAGTTAAAAGGTAGGGGGCAGATTTCTATGGGGCTATTTTTTCAGCCCTAGGGAATCGTAGAATTACTGACTTGGAAAGGTTTTCTACGGTCGAAAAATGACCCTACTTGCCGTAGAATATTGACGGGGGGGGGGGTCATTTTTCTACGTAGAAATTTGACCCCCCTCCCCGGTCAATATTCTACGGGGGGCACTTTTCGTCGTCACACCGTACATGCATAAGAATAACGCAAAACTCATTTCCAGGTAATCATTACTACTGAATAAAAAAAAAAACATTCTATTTCCAAGTATATACATGTATAACGAGAAAATAGAACTGGCTGATGTATCAGATATGTCACGAATTTAACGCCATTTTGGCATATCATAGTGGTGTGTACACCAATCCCGGACACAATTTCTGACCAAAACTTTTTTTCCCTACAATTTTGCGAGTAATGCTAAATAAATACATCTTCTTTACTTATTTTTCTTTCATACACTTTGTCGATCTCTCTCTCTCTTCACGACCTTAGTAAATATTCTTCAACACAATATATCGGCGACAATATGTGCAAATGTTCACTGTACATATTGTCGCCGACGACAATATGTGCCGTTGCGTTACTGTACATTTTGTCGTCCATTATGCAGGCGGAAAAAAGGGCTCGTCTAGGTACATATTGTCGCCGGCGACAATATGTATCGATGGATGACAATATGTGCAGTGAAGGTGGGTACATATTGTCGCCGGCGACAATATGTATGACAATATATGTGCAGTGAAGCTGGCTACATATTGTCGACGACGACAGTATGTACATGTACCGTCACACTAATCTGGACACATATACCTGTAAAGTTGTATTTACTTAGCATTACATGTACTCGCAAAATTGTAGGAAAAAAGATTTGGTCAGAAATTTGTGTCTAGGATTAGTGTACACCACTATATGCCAAAATGAAGTTATTCGATATATCTGATACATCAACCTATTCTGTTTTCTCGTTATACATGTATATACTTGGAAATAGAATGTAATTTTTTTTATTCAGTAGTGATGATTATCTGGAAATGATTTTTGCGTTAATCTTATAGATGTGCCGGTATAATTGGTGTTGACCATTGCTGGAAATATTTTTTTAATTGATAATACATCGTCGATATATCTAAATATCGAGTTGAAGGCCACAGCAAGAGATTTAATTTCTTTTTCTCATGTATAAGATTTTTAATTATTAGTACCCCTTTCCTTCGCCCAAATGAATGTACATGTAAATCCCTCAATGTGTTACTGATATGTAAATCAATTATCCCTCTTTAGCATTTGTAATATTCTATATGATATTGTATATTTAATAATAAATTCTGCTTCATATTAAAAATTCTTTTCTAAACGATAGACATCAATTTCAAAAAGGGGCCTAATGTATAATTAATAATAGAAAGTTATTCACCAAATTACATTATTCACCAAATTTTAAGTGTTGTAACTCGAATAAAAATTGTACGAGTTAACAAATTCCCAACAAAAATCAATATTTTTTTTCGCCAAAATATAAACAGGTTTTGGAACTCCAGAGATATTGACAAAAGGACCGCTGCAATTCAGTGCGCCGGGGAATATTACAAATGCTAAAGAGGGAGAATTGATTTACATATCAGTAACAGAGTGAGGGATTTGCATTCATTTGGGCGAAGAAAAGGGGTACTAATAAATCTGGCTGAACTGTCAATCCAGTCCGTGAGAGTTTCGACATGGAAAGAGTACCTCTTGGTTTTGAATTACAAGAAGAGAATAAAGGTAAACAAAAAGTACAAGATATAGATCGACGTAGTAAGATTTTATAAAGATATAAAGTTAGATACACGTTTATTATCGGACTTGTCACTAGTTTTGTTTGTATGAGTTGTACGGTCTGCAGAGATTGCGAAATGTTCACACCCTTGTTTAGGTTCTGTTTGCAGGTTCTAAATTCAGAACAAATAATTCCTTACAAATGGTATGTCCGTCTAGTTTATGACATTCTTTTTAAAATCCATGTTTAGAATATATTTCTTTTTTTCTTTTTCTTTCTTTTTTACTTTGAGTGGTTAAACATGTGGTAAACATGCACACATGCATACATGTATTTATAGAGACTGGGTAGTGATGAATTTAGTTTATTATTTTAAGTGAATTTTGTGTAAAAATTTATTCATGGAAGTAATAATTCTGCAATGGCAGGCTATTTCCATAAGATAACATAAAACCCTTCAGAAATCAATACAGCTGCTCGACTGTCCAGTCTGTATGTTCCATCGTATTGTATGGAGACATCTTTGCCCTGGGGGTCAGTTTAGTGTCAACAGGCTGGACAGTGTATTATGTACTGTACTGTATTGTGCGATAAAAAACAGAACGAAGCTGTATGAATCGCTACTGTACATACATGGTTAGGTGACAATCCAGGTGTTGAGGTTATTGAAAGCTCTATTCGCAGGTGAATTAAATCAACAGAATACAAATTTCGTTTTTTTTTGTTTTGTTTTTTGCTTATATATGTTATCGTTCTTGTTTCTGAGGTCCGTTTATTGCTCTAAACTCTGAATTATCTTGAACCTTTGACACAATATTCTACATAAAAGTACAAGTAACTTTCCTGTGAGAATAGTTTTATAATATACAAATGTGCACTGACAGTTTTTTTAAATAACTTTTTTGACGTATTAATTAAAAGTTATAAATTCTTGTCTTGACAAATGTAAACTAGATACATTCTTCCGTTCCTAGATAATGCACATTTTGTACTAATTTTGTTTCAATTTCCTCGTACAGTAAATTGCTATAAAACAAATTGAATTACTGTGTTCACAAGTACATGTAAGTAGCAGTAAGTACATGTATATGTTTAATATATCTATACAGTATGTTTATTTCTTCCTCTGTGTTTTTTCATTCATATTAACTAATGCCTACATGTCAGAGACTACGCTTGTATGTATAAACTATATATATACGTTTTGTTATGCTTTGTAGATCTATCCCGGCACTTCATTTATTTGTCTGAAGCATGCATACAGGAAATTGTAGATACAAAGTGTACTTATTCACTTGTTACATACTGTAAACGGTATAGCTATGTGATATGTTAGGTACTCCAAAGGAATGTGCTGGTGGTACATATTACAAATCTTTCAATACCTTGGACTTTATTTCAATAGCTGGTGACGTCTTACATTTTCGTCACACGGAGCGGTAAAAAAGTGACATAGACTGTATATTTCACACCAGAACAAGCTTAACAGAGGAAAATCGCATATATTTCACCAAGTTTAGTTGGTGCAAACAATGTTTCTTATGATCAAAATGTTAAGCTTATGTCATCTCATTTGTCAGCAACACCTGAAAAAGCAAGCTATTGATAAGAATGTTTTCTAAATGTTATTCACATTCAGATACAGTAACTATGGATACTAAGGATATTCATTACTCTCTTGTCTGTATCTCTCCTTTTTCTTTCTTTCATTCTTGACTATTCCCCTCTCTCTCTCACACATCTTGTTCCATGTTTGTCTCTTTCTCTCTCTCTCTCTCTCTCTCTCTATCTCGTTAATATAATTCTTTCTAAATCTTCTTTATCTCATAAAATTGTAATACTAAATTGTCATGCTAGTATTACAGCCGAGCATAAAAAACAAAAAAAAATGTCATCTGATCATCATGATAAATCATTTATTAGATTTTTTGAAGACAAATGTGATAATTGATCAACATTCCCCTAACAGACTGCTCATGTTTTTTCCCCTGGAATCTCTGGAGTGAAGATCAATCTCTCGGAGGGCCCTACATTGCGGGCTAATAAACAATTATTTGTAGAGATCCAGGAAATCATTAAAAGATTAAAATCCATACAAGGACACTGATAGCTTTTTGCTCTTGTTAGTCACAGTTATCAATGAGACTCCCATTTCCTTGTTATATGTAATGGAATCTAGATAATGAATTTCTGATGCACTGATAAAGCCCTCATAGTACATATCAGTTGAATGAGGCATTCGATAATAACTGAATTAATGTGACATAAAAATTATGTAATAACAGCATTGCATTTTATCATATTGGACTTTAGAATTTGATCTTTTTCATGTTTTTGTGAATTTCAGTGCATTTGATAATTAAAATAAAAAATACATACATACATGTACATACATACATACATACATATATTATATATATATATATATATGGTTGAACTTTGATGTCTCGGATACCATGAATATGTGGAAGTGAGGTGAAAGTCCCAACCACTTCTTATTGTTGTATTTAAAGGTAGTACAAAAGATAACACCTGAGAAATCAGTTTTTAACTCATTTCTTCTAAAACATGCCAGGAAAAAAAAATAAAATCACTCTAATGTCAATAATCAATTATTTTTGGAAGGAAAAATATAAAATGTGACATGAATGTACCCTACTCTGTTAAAAAAAACAAAAAACAAAACAAAACAAATTGAGACATCATATATATTGGACATTCTGGAGCCTACATTTACTAGAATGTTATCATCTACATGTGATTTAACCATTTGTAAAATTTTAAATATTTGGACATATGTATGAGGAGTCTCCATGCTTTATGTACAGTAAAGGTCAAGGTCATATTTAGAGGTCAAGGGAAATACTTTGGCATCATCTACTGGTTCTTCAAAGTTTCAAACAATTTGAATTTCAGGAAAAAATTGGCTTATCTATTTTGTACTCCTTAAACTCAGTATTTCTAAACCTCAGGTATAGCTCCATTTTTTTTCTAGGTCCCATCGAGTTCTAGATAATGAGGATTGATTGTAATACTATATATTTATGGTACATGTAACTATTATACTTTAATGGCATTATAGAAGTAAGATATGTAACTATTTATGACTAATTTCAAGAACATATACATGTGTTATTGACTCACTTGTAGGGGACCCTGCTCTGATCAATGTGACCCAGATAGATGTCAGCTACCCAGGGTACCCCCCATCCGGAGCTCAACCAGGTAGGGTCATAATTTTAGACCTAGGTCAACCAGGTAGGGTCACAAATTTAGACCTGGGTCAACCAGGTAGGGTCAAATTTTAGACCTGGGTCAACCAGGTGAATCACAGTATTAGACCCAGGCACCTTTATACAAAAAAAAAACAAACAAACAAAACCCCCCCCCCCCCCCCCCAAAAAAAAAAAAAAAAAAAACAACAAAACAAAACAAACATGCAAAAAACTATTGACTAAGACAAAAATGAAATTTTGCAAATTACTTTTTAATTTACATTATTTGAAAATGGTTTTAATCTTTCAAAAGAATTTAGAATAAGACATATTTATGCAAGCAATTTTAACATAGTAATTTTAACTTTGCAAGATTTTATGATCAACTAAAATTTTGGGTCTTTGTCATATTACCAGGTAAGTTCTTTTGTAAAACTGAACTTAGCAGTTTATTTTCTTGTCCAAAGGCAGTTAATAGATTTAGAAAATTGTACCTCCCTGTATACCTGTAACATGCAGCCAGGTATGGTATTGTGGACTGTTTATATATGTAATGACCTGGTCACTGGTATGACACAATTGTGTCACTATAATTTATAAACAGCTGCGATTCTAGTAAAACACCATAAATTTATGTGTCAGTTGAGGTACATGCTAGTAACACAGCTTAAGTATTGAAAGTTTTCACTAACTTTACATGTATTATATTTATACATCTACAGTTAATTTGTTTGGCTATTCACTGGATAAACTGTTGAATGCAAATATTAAGAGTGTGATTTATTCAGCATAGCCTGATATCTATACATTATTGAAAGTGGTGCATTGATTTTTCATGTGCATTAATTGGTATAGATAGGAACTTTTATTAACTGACAAGATACATGATATTTCTTCTTATTCTAAATGAGAGAAATCAAGTAAATTAATAACATTTTATAATAAGTATTCATTTAACAATGATGAACATATCTCTGACCTTAGTATATAGAATGACATAAGTTCTAAGAGTATGGATACTGCCCATATAGTTACTGCTGTATATAATCTCACAAACCCAGTTGTAATGTACAGTCATGAAATGTACATCTGAAGTGTACAGATTTTGTTATTCCACCTACACAATTTTATCATTCATGTTTTTTTAAGCCTTTTGAGTGACGAGGCACCTGATTCATACTTGCCCCCAGTTTCAGACGAAATCAGAGCTATATAGTTTATCTGATAAGACAGATCTTAGAGTGGCAATTTTTTTATGCATCCTTTTTATGCAAGGGTTATCAGACTAAATAGTGTTAAACCATTGAAATTAGATTTTGAAATATGTTAGTTGTAAAAGAAATTAATATGTCAGCTGGCATCAATTGTGCTTCTTTGTAAAGTACATGTATGCATTAATAGGTATTTTTACCTCTAAGATTTCCAGCTCTGCATCTTGTGAGGTTTGGATAATTACACAGTCAAGTGTCTTTATACTATGGAAGCTTATAATATGATCACAATTTATAGCCATGAATTTGTAGAGAATCAAAATTTTTGTTAACGAATAATTTACATATAGATATTATATTTCTATAAAAGGAACTCTGAACTCCATGTATTCACGCTACATACGGTATATGTATTAATAAATATATAACTTTAGGATTGAATTGAATATAGTCATGTATTCAGAAATTAGTAAAGCACATTTTTTAAGTGTTTTTCTTCTCTAAAGTTTGGTCTTGCTTGGGAGGGGTCAGAGAAATATTTCATGCTTGGATTTACTTGAATAAACTTCACCTTCATGTAGATATAAATAATATACACACAATTCACTTGTTACACTTCTGTGGTTATTTGTAATAAATCACTGGGCGTTGATTTGTTGTGTTTGAGTAATCAAGTCCAAGTTTATCAGAGTCCATCCTTGTTCATCTGAAGGATATGTCTACATGTATACACATCTACACATTAAATTAGCCTCCCTTCCCTATTAACATGTAAACTCTCCAGGAATTCAGGTTACATTCAGTTTAACTAGAGAGATTTAAGAGAGAAATTTATAAATTTGTGTAGATAATTTGAAGGGTGGTTAGGGATGGATGGCTATGTGGAATTAACAGGTGAGCTTTGATCAAGGTCAAGGTTTATTATAGTTTAGATCTTATAAATGTATTCTGCAGATCAAATGATCCAAGGTCAGCTGAGCTAGCTTAAAGTTTCTTCCGATTTTGTATTATTTTTTACTCTGTGAGCTTATCTATTCTAGGTACGTACATGTATTTAGATGTATATACCGGTAATCTTTTAAATAAGTAAGCTACATGAGTGATGTATTTTATTATGTATTGATAATAATCTGGCTGATTTTAAAGACTGCATTTTTTTTAATGGAAAACTGACCTTCCTTTCTTGTTGCTGCAAATGTTGGTTTGATATATGATTGAAGTATCATAATGGCACAATTACATATTTCAATATGCATGTGTATTGTACCAGAGGCCTGTTCAACAGAGCGAACGCTCACGAGCGCTCACAAACAATTCTGTTGGAAAGATAAGGAATTTATGCGACCACTTGCGAACGTTTGCTCTGTTGGACAGGCCTCAGAATTATAGAGGAACTTTAATTGGGTGTGGTTCCTGTTATTAGAAAAAAAGAAAAATAAATTGATTAAGAATCCTGCATTGTTTTATTTTCTAAAATGAATTTTATTTCTTGAACCTGCATGCTCAAATTATAATTATTTATTTTTTCCAACAATTGTTTGAAAAAAAAACTGCTTACTCAGGAAAGATTAATGTATAATTATCTAAAAGTCAACATGATGATGATGCATTTTATGTGTAAATAATTTTCAATAAAAGTGCAATCTAAGTAGAAAAAGAGAGATGTTGCATGCCCATAGGCTTTTGAAGGGTGGGAGAAATTAGGCCCAGCATCCCCATTATTACATTTTTTGTGATATATTTTATGGTCATACATGATTATTTGACATTTAAGCTTATTAATTCAGCATCACATTCTATGGATTAAGGCAATTTCATTACAGAAACAGCATGACAGTGATATATTGAAAAACACCAATATGCTACATTAGGCAGTTTTCCGAACCTGAATATTTTTTTTATGTCAGATAAAGTCGTTGCTTATCTAAAAGTTAAAAGTGGAATAGTCAGGTAGTTAGGCAAGGATTTATACACAAACATATAATGTAGGGAATCCAGGTCTATAATTATGTGACGAATTATTATCGGTGAAATATAATCCAAAGTGTTGCTTTTTCCATGGTGATTGAAAGGAAAAATCTTGACATCTGATTCTTTGATTGGGATGGAATTTTCATTATGTAGTACATGATTGTTTGACAGAGCTGAAGAATATAAGAATTTTTTTTCTTATAAGACATTTGTCAGATTTCTAATAATTTTAAAAATGAGTCATGGGATTCACCATGCAAGTAAGTATTACATTTTCTTTTACTTGTACAGTGCCATTCAATAGCAAAAATTGTATTTTTTAAAATTTTGCTTTAATTTTATCACAATTTTCCTCCAGAAGATATTTGTTGCTATCAAAGACAATATGTGAATGCTTTCAGCATGAAGAGAAAGATTCTGTCTAATATGCCCCTGAAGTAGAAGATTTTGGGGTGGGGTGGGTGTTTAGCATGATGATGCAGGGTATATTCATGCCCTGAGATTGAGATGAATGATTGGGGAGGGGTTATTGTTTTTTGGCTCCGCTGTTGTTTTGTCTTTTTTTCTGTCCACAACTAGAATCCTGTCCATAAGACCGTAACATGTACATATGTAAGTAGTATGAAGGCTTGCTGTTTGGCAGACAGAATTGAATGACACATATTTTAAGGTTTAAATGCAAGGATATTTAGTGTTACAGGAAAGGAGAAAATGTATGGCTGGACTGGGAATCGAACCTGGGACCCCTGTATCACTAGTCATGTGCTCTACTGACTGAGCTATCCAGGCCGATATCCACTTTTTAAAAGGTCAAGGAAACATGCAATGAGTGAAATTGTAGAATTCCAGTCATGTCTAGAATTCTGTCATGGAGAATCATTAGAAGGGATATTTGGCACAAGATAGCATATTAAGGTCACACGACATGTTCCTCAAATTATGTTTTGTATCTCTTGGTATTAAATCAAAACATATTCATAATTGTCATTCTCTTGTGATTTCTACATTGTTTACAATATGCTTTTAAATATAAGTACACCAAAAATCGTGACATAGGCCATTCAGAGGATTACCCATAAGGATTATATAAGAAATATAACCCTTTGGTATCTTATCCAAATGCCTGGTAAAGTACCTCAATTTTTTGTGAGGAAAATTGTTTAAGTACGTATACATCAATGACAAATACTCGGGAAATATTATATATTTTTTAGGAACGTGTCATCTGACCTTAAATTACCCATTAGTATGTCTGCAACCTAAGGTAATTTAGGTCAAATTTTCAAACTATATGTACTGTACTGTATGTATTATAGATTCCTTATAAATATTTTGCTCGAGAATTTAACATTACAAAGACCTGTTAAGACATCAAATGGCAAGAAGATGAATTTCCAAGAGGATCAATAGTTGACTAAAAATTACTTTATTTTCACAATATAAAAAAAGCAATATAATTTTCAATACTGAGTATTGCTTCTTGCGAAATTACATGTACACAACAAATAATTCCTTGTGTAAATTTAGGACTCTCAGTAATAAGAACTAGTAGTATTCTATGACCAGCAACAAAACACATATAAATGATATCCCAGATCTTTATATATTTCATTACTCACCAGGCTTATATGTTCATATAATATGTATCTTATTGTGAAAAAATCATTTCACATAATAAATAGATTATGATTGTTAAGATTTGACATCTCTCTAACATAAATATTTGTTTATATGAACTAGTTATTTTTAGGGCAGTTGGTAATGTTTCCCTTGCTTTGCTTGTACATCAGGAAGTTCCTAATATTTACACAGCTGTATAAGATATATTCCTGTTTGCCTGCTGTAGGGAACTATGGCAGTTATTTTCTACATTTCCTGTAAAATGCAAAAAGATGTTTATGTTTTTAATCCACATACATGTAACAACAAATGCTCTGTGAAAAGGGGGATAACTCTGAATTCATGAATGAGAGAATTTTAAGTCCCCTACTGGTGAAACCGGAGGAGACTATAGGTTTCCTCTGAGTCTGTCCGTCTGTCTGTCTGTCCCTCTGTCTGTCTGTCAGTCTGTCCCACTTGGTTTTCCGCACTTTTTTCCTAAATGCTTGCAGATATTGAGCTGAATTTTGGTATGTGAGTGTATCTTGATGAGTTACAGATTAAGTTTGCATTTCGTTCCATTTCATTGATTTTTGACGGAATTACGGCCTTTTCAATTTTTACGGGTTTTCCGCAATTTTCTTCTAAACGCTTGTAGATATTGAGCTGATTTTTGGTACGTGGTTTTACCTTGATTAGTTGTACATCAAGTTTGAATTTTGTCCGGCTTCATTAATTTTTGACGGAATTATGGCATTTTCAATTCTTAACGGGAACCAGATTACACTTGCCGGTAGGGGACTAGTATTGCTAATGCAATACTCTCAGAATGCTTGTTAAATAAGTGAATCATCTGAGCATATCCCAGTAATACTATGGGACAGATATTTGAGGTACATTGTATATATTATTATATTGACGTGATGATAAATTTAGTTAACTCATCAGACCTCAAGACCATAATCTGAGAAGAGACTGGAGTCATATTTTTACTACATGTAGTATTACTTTTGAAATAATTTTGAAAATAATACAAAATTTTATTCACAGTGTTTGCATGTATCTGAATATTATATTTATAGAAACTTGCAACTTTTTAAACATGTTTGTTACATAAAATCAAGATATTCCAAAACTAAATTTTGACTTAAGTCTGTTCATGGTTTAATATATGGCCTTGCATGGCCATTTGGAGCCAGAAGTAGAAAAAATCCTATTGCAGTAAAACTTGGTTATAGCGAAATTCTGGGGACCTGCAAATTTACTGTGCTATATCCGTAATTTGTTATAATATCCGTATAACAAATTCGTTAAAGTTTACAAAGGGAATTTGCATTATTATATAGATTTTTTTCCTTCAAGTATGACCTCATATGTATTTAGGGAAGTATAAAATATAAAATTTACCTTGGAGTTCAAAAGATTTTGGATTAATAGAATTCTAAATATAAATAGTTACTGTCTTACAAAATCAAGGTCAGTTCAATAGTTTAAAAATTAAGCTCTTTGAAATTTCCTATAAAAGATGTAAATTTCGTTATTTTTAACTTCTAGGATACAGAATCAGTTCCCTATAACTGTAAATTTGCTATATCTGAGTTCAATTTATCTGTAAAATTTTACAAGGAATTGATCAGAATTTCACTGGGGATTGCAGAAAACTTCGCTTTGTCCGTAAGTTCGCTATATTTGTGTTTGTACTAAACAAGTTTTACTGTAATTGATTGTACTCTAAATGTAATTAAAATACAGAATATATATGTTTTGTGTTTTGTAGAGGTTGCTCCAGGTGGTCCTGAGCCACACATGTACCCCTCAGTGCCAGGATCAAATTCTGCTCCCATAGGGTTCGAAGGTCATGGTAAGGTCAAAGAACTTTGGAAAAAAATTGAAATTTATAGATGGAAAGTTTTAAGTTTTCAATTTATTAATAATTGTTTCCATGTACACAGCTTTCCAAGTCTGGAGTGTACATTGTTCAAACTACTTTTGTTTGAAGATTATCAAGTTGTGTTGTGATGTTCAATGAAAAATAACCAAAGGGCATACTGTAGCAAGTACGGACTAGAAAGAAAAGGGTTAAAGAAATTTTCATCAATGTGATTTTAGAACAAAGCTTCCAATAATTGCTCTCGTGACAGCTAGCTGATCTCCTTGAGAAAAATGCTCATATAAGCAAGAAAACAATGTCAGTTAGGCTCAGTCTATAGATTCTTGCATATTAGAGAAAAAGTTGCACAAAAAATATATATAAAAGGATTTGACCATGTTTTACAGTTCAAGATGAGATGAAAGAAAAGGACAGGGAAGATAACTCTGTGGAAGTTAACATGGACTCCCCTCAGGTAAGTAACACTCAGGAGTTCTCTCTCTTTTACATGTACAGTGTGTACAATTCCTGAATACACTTTTACTTATTTACGTGTATTTCTAATTGTGTTCAGTAACTTTTACTCACTTGTTAATTAATTAACAAGTAATTTTAGTTGTTTTGGATGAAAATCACCTCTTGTTAATACAGTTTTCTATCCAAATAAGTACCATAAATCAAAATTTTCCCTAGAAATTAATAATTAACAAATATTTAACAGTTAATATGATAAAAATCATATATTGTGAGTGAATTAATCTGTGTGATATTTGTGTAGCATTTGCAGATCTGAATTCATTTCAACATCTATATAAAGCTAATTAACAATTTCCAAATAAGCTCTCCTAATTTGAATTTACATGCAATTCAGATTGAGCCCCAGGAGGAGGTACGTTTTCGGTACAATAAGGTCACGCCAATGTATTTTGTATTTTTTCACCATTCTGCATGTCATTTAATTCAATCAGCTTTAATGCGAATGTATACAGCTCTATTTCGTAAACCTTAAGATAAGTTAAATGCTTGTTGAACATTTTCATAATTCAAACATAATTTTACACACATAGTTTCCTGTTGAATAACTCAGTTATATAACAGTGTGGCTTTCATTGCAATTCAGGATGTTAGTTATTTTACACCTGATGTGTATACTTCAGTATTCAGTAAATTACAATGAATTTGATTTTGTTATATGTAACCTGCCGCTTGTGTAATGTATATGGCGACACCATTCATCTATAACACACCATGTATATGACACAGATAGACTATATTCCTGGCTTTTGTCAGTGTGACTGTCTGATGTATGCTGCCGTAGAGTCATATCTACTGTTGGGACCAATTTTCATGGATTGATTAAAATTTATCAGTTGACTTGGGATGTAATTTTGTCTTTTGTTTTTATATTTGTTTGTTAAATTTTGGTGAAGGTTAAACATGAAATCCTGAAAATTGAATCCTCCAAAAGTTTAATGATTCCACAGTATATGAAGCCATAAAAGAATTTACTGTCGGGACAAATTATGGAAAGTTGTCTCATTACATGCAATTCACTCACTACTCATGAAAAGTGAGATACAAAAAACCTAGTCACTGAGATACAACTAAACACAATGTACAGTCTTGTCCAGAGTTTTGTGGTATGTTGCATATGATTTGTTGAACAAGTATAATTGGGAGTTATAAGATTATTATGTAGCAGTTTTATGCATATTGACTACTAGAATGAGTTTTGTTTGTGAATATTGGGTTTGATCAAGAAATGCCATCAAATTTAACATAATGTGCACCTTAAAGAAAATGTGAGGTGTAAAAGAGCATTTTGTGGAAATTAATTCAGTGTAATTAGGGCATATGATATCATATAAATGTTGCAATCGTTCACTTAAAAAATGAGTAACTTTAGGGGATTAAAAATTTCAAGTGAATTTCAACTTTGATCTCATAGTTTGGTTGCATGGGACCACGGACTCTAATATGTCCCTGCTATTCAACATATCAAAGTTCAAGATAAAAAGGTTGTACTGTATTAATTAAAATTTGTAGAGCCATGTTTTATTGCCTTTACTAAAAACTGTATCTGATTTTATTGGCCAGATACAGGTCTGTACAAAAAATAAGGAAGAAATGACTAATAAAGCTGATTTTTATCTACAGGTTAATACAAACGACACTGCCAGTTTATTGGCAGAAGAAGAAATGGTAAAGAGCATACCTACCATTCTATCCAGTCCTGTAATGTACAGTCAAATTAGAAATCGGCAACTTTTCAGTTGAAGCAATTACAGGGGTGGATCCAGGAGTTTCCTCTTAAAGTAAAGGGTCTTGTAGATTTACAGTTTTAAGGATAGGAAAAGCTACCCAGTATTAACAAGTTGAGGAGGAAAACACACATGATATTTATGAGGAATCAGAGAATAATTATTCTCAAAGTCCTTGAAAGGAAACAGGTGGGGGGGGGGGCAATGTCATTTTGACACTTTTTCACTTTATAATTGAAAATAAATTGAAATTGAATTGAGTTTTCTCATGACTTGCAATTTCTACAGATTTGACTGTACATTCTTTGAGTTAAGATTTAGATATCTTTAGCCAATATCGCATATCTTTTACACAAATGAAAGTTGCTTGTACTTTGTGTTTCATTTCTATCAGATGATCAGTTGCTGCTTATGCATATTGTAAAATTACGCCCACATCTTTCTCTCCATATTTGGCATCCTGCTGCTGTTAAAATTCCCAATGCTTTAGACTAACACGCACTAATTACGTTGTAAGTTTCATCATAAAGTATCAATATCATCTTGAAAGTGAAATTATTTAGAGGTGTATCTTAGACTATTGGTTTAGATGTGAACAATTACATTACTGTAGATCATCAAATTTTCACGATACCTTATTTTCACTAGAAAGTTATTTGCTATTTATAAGCTAGACAACATTTTCATGATTTCTGGATATTGTTATACAGTTGAACTTTAGTATCTCGAACATAGATACTTCAAATACCATGGAAATGTTGAAGTGATTTGGAAGTCCCAATCTCATATTCTTAAGTGTTTTACACTGGATATCTTGATTCCTTGGATTTCTTGAAGATTTTTCTAGGTCCCATTGAGTTCCAGATATTGAGGTTTGACTGTATAACAAAATAATTATATATGCAAGAATGAAATTTTTGCAAGCATACAGTCTTGTGCAGTAAAAGGAAATGGAGGTTCTTATGAATAAAAGTTGATAATGTCATGATTACACTGATTCAGGCAAGGGTATTTGTGAAACGTCTTTGAAATTACATCATTGCTAGTAAGCATAAGTATTCATAAAGAAACTGCCCTTCTGAATAAACAATGTATTAAATTATAGTTATACAGGTACTATCTGATAACTTTATAGTATATTTTTAAAATGTACAGGGAATAAGAATCTCTTTACTCTTGTATCTATGTTTTAATATTTAGGTCTGGACTCAGAATTAGAATTCAGTTTTTGTCTAGCATCTTTTGTGTCTCAAAATTTATTTTTGGGGAAAGGGGGAGCTGGGGGAGGTATCTGTCTGTTTCTCTGTCTTTTGTTTTTTTATCCACAACTTTTACATTACTAGAAGTAGAACCTTTTCTCTTCTGTTATGTGAAATTATAATGACAAAGATATAATTATAAGAAGAAAATAAAACACAAAGTCAAACAATTTTCATTGTTTTATATATCATGTGGACTGACATTGATATCTCAAGATTAGAAAATGTCTGAAGAACCTAACAGCTTCTGATTGGTTTGGAATGATTAATTTTATTGATATTAAATTTGAGATATCAATGTCTCTACCCATATATATGATAATGATCATTTTATTTTACTAACAGGATCAAGTGCGGTGTATAGAATCCAGTGCATGATGTCTTATATTTTTCAACCAATTCATACAAATCAAAATTAACTAAATGTCTGTTTATTTAATCTTGGCGAAAGGGACAAATGCTGGCGTCATTCAATGTACTTAAAGCTTAGCATCTCACATTGCCTTTGTATCTGAATATTGAATTTAGGAGGGCGGGGCTAAGGTGGAGAAGGAGGAGGAGACTAATTTGATTGACAGATATGCTCAGCAGGTGATTGGTCCATTTCATCTTCAAACTGGTGTTGTCAGCATATGTATTTTTAGAGTCTCTCAGTGTTAGGCAGTGCTGTTTGTATGTTTGCTTGTCTGTTGTCAATGTCTCTAGTATTTTTTTAATTGCTTAAGAGAATTGTAGTATGAATGAAGTATATGACGTCAACAATATGGATGTCGCCTCTGATAATTATTTTAGGTAATTTAAAAATGGATAATGGCATATGCATTTAGTGAATTGTGATATAATGCTCATTTGATACATTTTATGATTATTATGACAGATGAATGCTTAGATTAGAGTAAAGCTAAATTAGTTGTTGACTACATTGTGCATATCAGATAAAGTAAAAAATTTGTATTTAAATTTTAATCAGCACACATAATATACAAATCATTAATTCATCTCATCTGGAACATAGCAATAATCCATTTTTTTTGGTTCAGATTTGGTATCTTGCAGTTTCTCATTAAATTTTTTAAGATTTCCTTTTCTCTCTGTCTCTCCCTGAAAGAGGGGCTTTTTATAGAGAATTGTGTTCTCTATTTTTATGGCAACATTTTATTTCATCGTGGCAAATGTGGCATTTGTTTGAGTTATTCTCCAAGTACACCTGCTCTTATATATAGACACTAATCCCTTAATTAAAATCAGGTCACTGTTCGTTATCTTGACCTTTTTCACTTTTAACATGGCTGTTAATATGGGGTCAGATTGACATGATTTCTGTAAAGCATTCAGCTATTTTAAGGTTCATTTACCTGGTACACTCTGATAAGGGAGATAACTCTCTCATGGATAAATGACCCTCATTTCTATATAAAATTGTCAAGTAAAAAGGTCATTTCTGTCAAATTCTGTCCAGGAAGGTATGCCAAAATAGCTTGAAAATTTATCATAAATTGTAAACTTTTTCTTTGGAAAACCATTAGCATTAAAGGAATAAAATCAATAGAGGATGGGAGTGGGGGGTTGAACCTTGAAGATTTTCTGGTTGCAGTTTGAAAATCAGTGGATTGTGAGAGTTGAAAGGTCAATAGTGACTCCTTAGGGAAGAGCCTTTGAGTGGAGATTTTTATTACTTCCTCTTACTAAGAAAGTTAATTTCCTCACTTAACATTCACTGTATTATTATTTAAGAGTAAATCTTTTAATATGTATTGTTATGCTTTTAAAATTGAAATGAGTGCTAGAATTATAGTACCATTTCTTGCATTTTTTAGGGAGCTCTACTCAGAAGTAATTGAATCATTTTTAGAAGATTAGGTAAAAACATTGTACAGGTGCATATGAATTTACAAATTGTCTGTTTCTTGCATGAATACCCAATTCTGATCGCTTATTGCATCTGTTTCCCAAAGTCTGTACATTGAAGGTCCAGTGGCTTTACATGTATTTATAAACTGACTGTACATGTAGATCAAACAGTTTATTAGTCAGCTGTGGGTGTTTATGTATATCCGATCATATTATTACACCAGAGGCAGTCTTGAGCAAAATACTGAGTAAACGAAGGATATGTCAACTTTTCTAGTTGTGTCTGCTGAGGCAAGCTATAGGTTCATTTTCAGCTTGAGTGAATCTGGAATGTTTACTTTAAGAATGATACACTTCCTTCAAAACTAACTGTACAGGGAAAAAATATTAAAGAAATTTTGACTTGCCTTAAAAAGTTCAGTAATATGTATTTGTGACCCTGGATACTACTGTTAAGGATACTTGCAGTGTGATATTTGTTTAATTGTGGAATTACACTGTTACATATTGGGATGCACATTAAAATATTCCCTGGCTTATTACCATCTACTGTAACAGTTGCATACCAGAAACTATTATGAAACATTACATTCATTACACAAATGTACATTTTAGAATTAATGTGGGAAACTTTGATTGGTTAATGTTATTGATGGAATATTAAATATTGCTTGAAATTTGACAATCAGAACAATGAGTGGAACTACTGTGAATATTTCGGATGAGATTCGTTTGGTGGACGGATATCACTCGACGGATCAGTATGAAATCAAAAAGGAGCGCCAGAGAGTAGGCAAAAGTCTTGTTTATTTTGATACTTCCTATTTTAATTTTTCTCTTCTCTGTCTAAATCCCCCCCCCCCCCCCCCCAAAAAAAATGTGCTACAAATAAAAGAATGACTTCAAATTTCTTCTGTACATTTCAAAATTTTTTGATCAACATGGTGGTTTGTTTAAAAATTAAGTTAATTAGGTGGATCTGGTGTAAAATAAGGGGAGTGCACTCTGTTTGGTTGGCCCATTTTGCAAGCAAAAATTTTTTTTTTTTTTTCTTGACCATGTTGATTTGTTTCTTTCAAACCCTATTGAATCTCTTAAGTGTAAAATGTAACACTGAAGTGTGAGATGATGTAATGTATTATATGACTGTCACAGTGATTACTAAAAACAAACAAAACCCAAAACAAAACCATAACAATTTATGAATAATGATGTTCTTTTCAAAACTTCATCCATTGATTGTATACAAAGATTTAAAATTAAACATATTGATTTTTGGTTAAATTTCTATACTCATGCATTTTCAGATTTCAAATATATTCATGCAGGCATTTTTGCAGTTATTTTTATTGGAGAACAATGTGCACAGTATTTTTCTGCCTCTATCAATAATTTCTTTTCCACTATACAGATAAAGTTTTTTCTGCATTCATTGTCAGGGAGATGTTTTATGAGTACATTTTTTTCAAGAGCTTCTTTGCATTTTGTTTGGTATAATTTTATTAAGAATTTGCGCTTTAATCGCTTTTGATATTTTTGTTGAAAGTTTTAAATGAATTCTTTGTTCAATTAAGTTTTGAATTGTCATATTTTGCTATATTGAGCTGGGTCAAATATCACATGGGGAATACATGCAAACTGTCTAGATAAATTCTAGGTAGGCATATTGTTATGAAAATTTGTATGAACATCTCTTGTGATTTTTGATGCTCTTTGCTATGAAGGAAAAAATAATGCATTCTTTTTTATCATGTATAGAAAACCATAGAATTTTTTTTATTTCCGCTTAAAGTTCGTCAGTGAGACAATGTCTTTTAAATTTGTCATGTTTATCATAACATTAGGTTTCATAATATCATTTAACTATCTATATGTAGGGTTGTCCCTAAGACTCAGGGGCCGGGGAATTTCCCTGCCTATAATGACGTTATCCAACGGTATTCTGGTATTCCCCTTTAACCCCCCTGTTAAGGTGGAAACCCCAGATGCCTTCTACATTTTTAATGTCCCCTCCTATTTCAATTCCTAGGGACAACCCTGTGTATGTTAAAAAAGGTGCATGAAAATTAGATATGTGCATGCTAATAAAACCGTGAGGTGATGATATAATTATTTGTTTAATTAATATAAAAAGTATGTAAGCTATATGTAGATTTCTTGTTAAAATCACTGTATATTATGTACATGTAATATGATCAATATATATAACAATATTATTTTCATAAAGTTCATATAAATCAATATTGTACTTTTTTTGGTGCATCTATATCATAAATGGTTAACCATAACAATCAAATAATTTACATGTACTCTATAAGGCTGTACATGTAGTACATGTATGTTTGGTGTTTAGAGAAAAATAATGAAAATATAGAGAGTTCTAAGCATGCTATCATTGGAAAGGTTTAAATTCTTCTAGCACTTTTGATATGTCAAGAGATAAATTACTCGTTTGTTTAACTCCTACTCATTTGATAAACTATAACATGATTCTGTGATTATAAATCAAGTGATATGGCTTATAGTCTATGATTTTAAAAACAACATTTTTGATAGCTAGTGCATCTTCTTTCATTAAAAGAAGAAAAATGAAATCATTTGATCTATTTGAAAAAGAAATTTTTAACTGCCAATCAACGAGTAAATATTTTTTTTTTTGGCAGATAATAAACGAGAAAGCCACCTTGTTTTTCAAAGACGGGAAAAGGAAGATTGATTTCGTTCTAGCCTATGAGCCTGGGGATACCGAGGACCCAAAGAAGAAACAGAGGCGGGAGACGTTTGAAAAGAATCTGATAGAGGAGGGCTTAGAACTCGAGTATGAGGGAAAAGAGGTGTGGATCTAAGCTAATTCATTGTTTTCAGGGGGGTGAATCTAGGAAGGGAGGAAAGAACCTTTCAAATGTTTAGATATGCTTGTAGCTGCAATAATGTAGCCCTCTCCAATTTTTTTTTAGCTGATGTTTTTGGGAGAGAAAAAAAACCGGAGAGGGCTACATTATTGCAGCTAGTTAATTAATGATTTCTGTTGTATGCATATTAATTTGTCTTGAACATTCTCCCAAAGATCCATGTTGATGAATATTTTCTTTCCCCTGATTACAAAGTTTCCTATGTTTTATAGCAAATTTTTGAAAAAAAAAAAATAGTTTCTCTCATATCATTTTATTTTATATTGAAAATCAATCTTTAAATCAATATTTCAGTCCTCAAAGAATGGTAAAACCTGCTTTGTTAAAGTCCACACGCCCTGGGAGACGCTGGCCAGATATGCTGAACTCCTAAACATCAAAATGCCTCTGGCGGTATGTATCAAAATTATAATAAAAAAAAGTTATGATTTAATAAACTTGATGTTTAATAAACATGATGCATGTACTACAGGTGTGAAAAAAATCTAGATGTTGCATTTAATGATTTTTGAAAAATATACTCTCCATTAATTAAATGTGGAGTAACTGTTTAAAGTATTATATATAGTATAATATGATGTCAGGAAAGATGGAATATGGATTCAACTCTAAGCTAAAAAACTAAGAAAAGTTTTAAAAATGTGTATTAAAGGTATGTATTGCATTTTCATACTTTTTTTTACCTCTTTTGACAGGAGAATGACATGGAGACTCAGCTAGAGAGCTGCTTTGAAGTTTGCTGGAGTAAGTTTCCGTCACCTTTTGACCTAGATCCTGACCTGCTACCAGAAGAGCCCAACTACTTCACGGCACCTTTCAACAGAGCCCGCATGGATACGTAAGAAAAAGTTTATAACCTTTTTTCAACTGTTTGTATTTAAAATGGGATGGAAATCTTAGCAAAAAGAAATGCCTTAGTGGAAGAGATAAGTAATCTATTTTTTTTTCAATCTTCCAGTCTTAATTATAATGGCATTATGCTGCCAAAAAACATTAGATTTCCCAATACACAAGAAAGCAAACAAAAATTTGAATATACTTGTATTTTAATTTATTTGAAAAGAAATGCTATGTTTTAAGTAAAAAGGATAACAACTTTTCAGAGTAAAACATGTAAAATGTATCTGGAGGAAAGGGGGGCTCTTTTTAGCTCACCTGAGCTGAAAGCTCAAGTGAGCTTTTCTGATCACATTTTGTCCGGCGTCCGTCTAGCTGTCCGTCTGTCTGTCCGTCTGTCTGTAAACTTTTCACATTTTCGACTTCTTCTCAAGAACCACTGGGCCAATTTCAACCAAACTTGCCACAAAGTATCCTTGGGTAAAGGGGATTCAAGTTTGTTCAAATGAAGGGCCATGCCCTCTTCCAAGGGGAGATAATTAGGAATTAGTGAAAAAATAATGGCATCATTTAAAAATCTTCTTCTCAAGAACCATAGGGCCAAGAAAGATGAAACTCATGTGGAAGCATCCTTAGGTAGTGTAGATTCAAGTTTGTTCAAACCATGATCCCCAGGGGTAGGGCGGGGCCACAATGGAGGATCAAAGTTTTACATAGAAATATATAGGAAAAATCTTTAAAAATCTTCTTCTCAAGAACAGCAAAGCCATGATGAGTCATATTTATATGGAAGCATCCTCAAGTAGTGTAGATTCAAGTTTGTTCAAACCATGACCCCCGGGGGTAGGGCGGGGCTACAATGGAGGATCAAAGTTTTACATAGAAATATATAGGAAAAATCTTTAAAAATCTTCTTCTCAAGAACAGCAAAGCCATGATGAGTCATATTTATATGGAAGCATCCTCAAGTAGTGCAGATTCAAGTTTATTCAAACCATGACCCCCGGGGGTAGGGCGGGGCCACAATGGAGGATCAAAGTTTTACATAGAAATATATAGGAAAAATCTTTAAAAATCTTCTTCTCAAGAACAGCAAAGCCATGATGAGTCATATTTATATGGAAGCATCCTCAGGTAGTGCAGATTCAAGTTTGTTCAAACCATGACCCCCGGGGGTAGGGCGGGGCCACAATGGAGGATCAAAGTTTTACATAGAAATATATAGGAAAAATCTTAAAAAATCTTCTTCTCAAGAACAGCAAAGCCATGATGAATCATATTTATATGGAAGCATCCTCAGGTAGTGTAGATTCAAGTTTGTTCAAACCATGATCCCCGGGGGTAGGGCGGGGCCACAAGTGAGGATCAAAGTTTTACATAGAAATATATAGGAAAAATCTTTAAAAATCTTCTTCTCAAGAGCAGCAAAGCCATGATGAGTCATATTTATATGGAAGCATCCTCAAGTAGTGTAGATTCAAGTTTGTTCAAACCATGATCTCCGGGGGTAGGGCGGGGCCACAATGGAGGATCAAAGTTTTACATTAAAATATAAAGGAAAATATCTTCTTCTGAAGAACTGCAAACCATGATTAGTCATTTTGATATGGAAGCATCCTCAGGTAGTGTAGATTCAATTTTGTTCAAATGGTGACCCCCAGGGGTAGGATGGGGCCCAATCGGGGATGGAAAGTTTACATAAGAACATATAGAAAAAATATTTCTTCTCAAGAACAGAAAAGTTATGTTTAGTCATATTGATATGGAAGCATCTTCAGGTAGTGTAGATTCAAGTTTGTTCAAATGATGACCCCTGGGATAGGGAGGAGCCACAATGGGGGATCAAATTTTTACAAAGGAGTATATGGGAAAATTTTTTAAAAATCTTCTCAAGTACGACAAAGCCATTTGTTATATTGACATGGAACCATCATCAGGTAGTTTAAAATTCAAGCCAATGTGCTCAGGTGAGCGATGTGGCCCATGGGCCTCTTGTTTTTCCCATTATTTCACAATTTTATATAAACTGTATGTGATTAGATATATTGGTGTGGAGTGGGATGGTAATGAGTGAGTATTGGAGTATTTACATTGTTATCATGAAAAAAATATTCATATGATCTGTAATGCATCATTTTCTGCAATATCATCTTGGATATGCTTTTCAGTCTACCATAAGTTTTGAACTTTTATTTTTTCTGTCAATACATATATGATGAATTTAAATTTAAATATTATATACTGTATAGGTATCATATTTCTTCAAATGATAAAATTTTCCATGTACACTCATCATAATTATTCACAATGAATAAATAAAATGATGACTTTGGGATTAAGGTATATGTAAATCCATCCTTTTGTGATTAAATAGGTTTTGCAAAATCTTTTAATAATTTAACACCATGCTAAGTAAAAATATATTTTTGGAAAAAATGCTTCCCAGCAGATATACAGTACTGTAATAAGAAATATGGTTAGGTTAATGAACTAAGAAAATGTGCCAAGGGCTGTAACTCTTTCTAATATTTCTTCATTCATTTTTTATTGTAAAATGTTCAGCTGCCTTCTGTTCATTCATATAACATTATTGCTTTATTAATGATCATAATGATTCTCCAAAAATAAATAAATAAATAAATAAATAAAAAATAAAAAAAATAAATCTGAATTATAATGTATACTTACTTAGATGTGTATGAAAAAAAAAAAAAAATAGATAAAATTATTTCAGTTTACTTTGCAGTGCAAAATTTGAAAAGTTTGAAACTTGACATTTTAACTTGACAAATCATTAAGAAAATGAGAGTCATAAATCTTGATGAGAGTTATCTCATATGTATATACAAATACCTAGTTCAAGAAAAAAAGTTTTCGTAGTCAGAATTTTTTTTGAGTAAACTGACCAAATGTGTAATAAACTGTTTTCTTTTTCCACATTAAACCTTACATTTATTTAGTATTGTATGAGTGTAAAGGAGACGTTATTGTATCTTAGTTATTTATATGTTTATTAACCTGCAGATTAAACAGTTGAGGTATATTGATATGGTTTTCATAAACTTACTCATAAGGATTGTAGCAAATGCCTGCAGTAATTGTGCCTGTGATCTTTGTCATTGGGGATAAAGATATATTTTCCATCGATCAACTCTTTCTTTTTCACTTTCAATTGTTGGATATTTACATGACTGTATTCATTTTCTGATGAAGGCTGTTGATAACATATTTGATATCAATTGTTATTGCTATTAATAAATTTTTTTTTATTTCTCTCTAATTCCAGAGGACAGTATGTATATCCCCTTGATAATCAATGATAACAAGACGATGAATGTTAGAACACTCTGTATGCATATGGTGCATGATACCCTTCATTATGTCCCAAGTTAATGATAATTATGTATGAATCTATTGTAACTTGTTTAATATATCTATAATGGTACTAAGTTGAAGTAAATTCTTTACCATTATATTATCTGGAATTTGACATGGTTTTAATGATATTCAATACATATATAAATACTGTATTTCTAATATGTAGAATTTTCTATCAAATCTTGTAAATGCACTTTTAAGAAACTCTGTCCAACTGCAGTTGGTTGCCCTGGAAAAGTATCCATATAGCACTTGAATGTTATACATGTATCTCAACTCTGATCTAAATGAAGGTGTTTTCTTTCCACTCCTATAGCTAAGGGTTTGCATTTCTAAACACCAGAGAGGATAAATTCTCTCTCCGTACTAATATTACCCCCTCCCTTAAATAAATATATTGTTGTATTAGTTTTGAATTTGAAATCACAAAAGGATTATCGGAATTTTCCCTTTATACAATATCAACTTATTTAAAGTGACAGAATTTAGCAAACTTTATGCAGTGGAATTACTTTTATTAATGAAAATTAGTTTAATTAAAATATATTGGAGATATAAGTATGAAAAGTGAAAGTGTAATATTTCTTTCACATTTTACCTTGATATTGTATCATACCTCTGAAACATGCATGGTTAATACCGGTAGTTGATGATGATATAATTGTTTATAAGTTTGCATATTTATTTAGATGAAAGTACTAAAAGTGAGAACTTTTACTACATGTATTATAACTTTACAGCATGTATGAATACTCTGTCTGAAGTTCATTGTAAAGTCTCTCATATGGAATAGGTCTTTGATTTAAAGTTCTATTGTACCGTTATATTATAGTGTAAAATTCAATAGCATATAATTTGGTCTCCTAAGTTTTCCAGAGACAGAGAAAGAAATTGTGCACTGGTGATACTAAATTTAGAATGGTTTAGTTTGCCTTGCATTGACCTTTGAGAGTGAATATAGCAATATATCTGAAATACTTTATTTGTAGAAGGATAACCCAAAAAGTTTGTAACATTTAATCCAGTAGATTTTGTTGTACAGGAAACTGATTATTGTGCATGATTCAAGGATTCACCCTGCAAGTACAATTACAGGTCAAACTACTTTAACATTATGATCACGAAAATCACTACATCCATGTATTGTTGAAATCTTTCATTTAGTATGTCCTTTAATTTGCATAATACATGATTGTATGTTATCCCATATACAAAGTATATTTTTTTAGTATTGATATAATGTTAATTGAGTGAGGTTTCACAGTCTTGTCTTATGGGAAATTTGGTGAGAAGTGAACATTGGTATATTTACACATGTTGTTCACAAGTTTATTCCTGCAAATGAATGTTTATCATTATTAAAACAAGAGATTAATAAAGAAGTAAATGACAGATGAGTACTGGTATTTGTTTGTTGTAATCTTTTAAAGAGTTAATAATTGATTTTTGTCATTGATTTTCTTGAAAATTGTACTGCAGGTTTGTCATAAAAGACAAAGACACCTTCTTCACAAACGCTCAGAGGAGCAAGATCTGTTATGAGATTCTTTCCCGAACACACTTTACAGATAGTGATGATGATGAAGAAGACAAGATAAAGAAGAAATTTGGTAAGTACTCACTTAAGACCTCTATATAGCATTATATTTCATAAATGTAGGAATCAAGTTAAAAATAACATCACAAGGAGTTTTATTTTGTGTAATATGTGTAATACATGTACTTTATTGAGTTTTGCATTCTAATTATTTACTACCTAAAATAAATTTGGAAATACATGTATTGAATGTTTGTCCTGATGAAAGATTTGCATGGTAGAAAAATGAGTTGAAACAGAGTTTTTTTTTTTTAAAATAGATACAGTGATTATTAGTATGTTGTCTTAAACAGGAATCAGGAAGCTTACAGACAATCAGACATACACTGCTGCCTACCCACTACATGATGTAAGTTCTTAGCTCTGTTGTAAAATCTGAAAAAATCTTATTAAGAGTTTCAACTATTAGGGACTTTTGTGGGAAAAAAATTATTAGTATTAAAAAAAAGATTCTGCAATAATTCATGGAAAAATGTACTGTTTAAATGCTTGGAAATATTTGCCCCCCCCCCCCCACCCCCAATTTTCATCCCTTTTGTCCTTGTCGCAAGTGGGTGAATTTAGAATTGGGGGCTATTTGAGAAAGATAGGATGAACTCTTTAACAAAACTCTGGGCAAATTTAAAACAGCGAAATTGTTTGTAAAAGGGATGAAAATAACACTGGGTGAATATAACCCTGTATACATTATTTTCAAAAATATGCTTTTATAAAAGGACTTCATTCATTCAAACATATGACAGCTTTGAAAATGTGTATTAGTTTATCAGTGTTTTGAATTGACATCTTTTTTTGTTAAATTTGACAGGGACGGTACCACAGTGAACACTCACTGCTAACTGTTGGCAAAGACAATGATAGACATGTAAGATAATGTTGTGTGGCTGTAAGGCTCATCTGTAGTGTGGTAGAGTTTGACAGCATTGCCATTAACTGTATCTCTTTTTTATTTTGAAGTTCAGAGCAAAAAAAATTGTTTTAGTAAAAACACGATGTTTACTCCAATAAGGGTTTCATTTACATAGTCTGAAAAGAAATTCTATCTTTTTATTTGTGAAATTTCATTTTGTTGTCTGATACACATATGTACATCTGTAAGACTTTGATTGTTGAAAAAACAATGTAACTATTTACTGGTAATTTTTGTTCACAGCTGCTGTATGAGCTATGGGCTAGACCAGGCCGTTGGTACAAATATCAGCCACTAGACCAAGTCAGGTAAACTTACAAATATTTTGCTATTCTGATGCCACCTGGGAAATGAAATTCAAAGTATTTAGGACTTATCTAAATCAAGTGAAACTACTTAGCTACAACATTCTTTGAAAATTCACAAAGGGTTACCATACTTTCCATTGATTCAAAAGGTAGTAGAATATGATAATTTGGACTATTGGTAGATGATACATGTAACATGCATATATTCTCTTCTATTAAATCCAAATGTCACACAGTTAATTAAATTCAACCTATCCTTGGTATCATGAAACACACCTGAGGATTTCAATCGTCTGTCAGATAATAGTGAGTTGCAGGTAAAAGAAGCTTGGTGATACAATGTTGAATACAATGTTTATTATTGTTTAATCTTTGACTTCTACATATATCATTTCAACACAATGAGTGATTTTAACTTAAGCTTAAGATGTTCCTTCATCCAGTGAACCAGAGCAAGCATTAGCAATGAAAACATTAGGTAAATGTCCAAAAGTTTAATATAATGCGTAAATTTTACATCTGTGATAATTAGGTTAGGCTTATGTCACCTCTTTGTTAGGAACACCTGAGAGTCCAAACTGCTAATGAAAATGCCCTAAATGTCTGGTAATGCCAATGATTGCAATGGACATCTACAGAATCATTCATGCACATACATTTTCTCCACTCCTGTTTCAGTCATATAACATTTCATAAATGGATATTTAAAGCACTAGTTTTTGTAGTGTGGTTAAGAAGTTGGAAATTCAGTTACACTATACAGTCAATGTACAGATCAGTTAAGCACTAGTTAACCAAAACCTACCTCCTGTTTTTGAAAGGAAATTAAAGCTTCTCTTTTTCATGCAGGAACTACTTTGGAGAGAAAATAGGAATTTACTTTACTTGGCTGGGTTTTTATACCACCATGTTAATACCTGCTGCCTTTGTTGGATTCATAGTCTTCATCTATGGACTGGCTACATTAATGAGGGATATTCCAAGGTTGGTTTGTCTACTGAGCCATGTGTAGTTAGTCATTTTTTTTTTTTTAAAAAAGTAAGCCCTATATTAAAGATTGCATCACAAATGCTATTGAGGATTTCCAGTAAAATATACCTTTGTTATTTACCTCTATTGTCTCCATGTTTGGGTTATCAAAACCAATGAAGTTCAATTTCATTATCTCCAATATATCTGAGGGATGTGTCAAAGAGAGTTGGCAGACTTAGAACCACTTTTTCTCTGTGTTATTTACCCTAGTTATCTCAGATTCTTGGATATCTCAAGTTAGAGATAAAAAGGTTTGACTGTATTTTGTGAGAGAACTTTCCATTGTGTGAAAGAATTACAGTGAAACTTGTCTAATCCAGATGTTGTGTAATCCAAAATCTTGTCTACTTTGTAAACTTTAAGTCCCTTGCAGTAACTTCAATAGTTTTAAATGTTGTCTATTCCTGAATGTGGCCTAATCTGGCCAATTTCTTTGCAACCACTGGTGTTCGGATTAGACAAGTTTTACTGTATTTACTTTACCATTTATATATTTTTTTTTTGTGTATTTTAAATTCTATACACACAGTGTCAGTTATTATGTTCTTGCTTTATTTTCATTGGCATGATATTCTAAAACAATTTATCTGCATGAGAGGTGATTTCCTCCATTACAGTTCTGAGATTTGTGATGACCCAACCATTGGGAACTACACGATGTGTCCCATGTGTGACAAGCGCTGTACATACTGGCATCTCTCTGACAGCTGTAATTACTCCAAGGCCACCTACTTGTTTGACAACTCTGCTACTGTGGCATTTGCTATCTTTATGGCTCTCTGGGGTAAGGCATTATATACAGTTGAACCTTGTTAATCTGGACACTTGTGTTCCTCAGCAAGTTTTATGGATTAAGGAAGTGTCTGGATTAATTACACGCATCTTTTTTAACTGATAGATATAAATATGAATTCTCTTTCCCACAAAATTCATCCACAATGTAAAGTGTCCAGTTTGTTTGTGTCTGGATTACTAAGCCTTGACTGTAATCTTTATAGTGAATGTAAAAGTACCATGTTTATAAACAGTAACTCGAGTTTTTAACATCCAATTACTTTAAGAATTTATGAAATCCCTGATAAGTATTATTTATCTGCTGTGTTATTCTTCTCCATACAGCCTCTTTTTTCCATGAATTCTGGAAGAGGAAACAAGCTGAGATCGAGTACGAGTGGGATGTGGCAGACTTTGAAGAGGGGGAGGTAACTCTTAATTTTGCAGTACATGTATGTACAGGTATATTTTTGAAGGAAGTACCTGGGACATGAATTTTTAGCTCTTTCGAACCAAATTTCTTTATATCCATATAAGAAAGTATTTTGACATTTGGAGAAAGATACTAGTTCAGTAGAACAATGAATTCCTTATATCCAATTTGCTTATAAAGTGTTACTGTATGTACATATAAAAAGAGAGAAGATAGTTTTGATTCAGAGAGATTACAAGTGGCTTTGATGTGTAGTCACAATAAACAATTTGTGCTTGCCTATGTACAGTAAAACATGCTTATAGCAAACAAGTGCCCATGTACAATAAAACACACTTATAGCGAACACACTTTAAATGAATTGACGCTTACAGTGAAGTGATTTTCATTCCCCAAGACTTTAAAATATTTTGTTAACTTAATGGATATAATGAATTAAGCTTATAACAAAGCAAAATCGTCTGTCCCTGGCACTTTGTTATAAATGTGTTTTACTTTAAATAATGTTTTTATTCACTAGGAGAAAAAGCATGCCCACAGCTGCTTTTTTATCCATTTGTTGCAGCTGTAGTATGGCCAATAAAAATAAACATAACTGGCTTAAACAAAATTATTCTAGGCTTTTGAAAAAACAAAAAAAAAATAATTTTGTCTGTGATGAACCTAGATGTTGATGGAATGAGATGTGCATTTAGTAAAAAAAAAAAAAAAATATCAGTGATTAAATGAGCTACATGTATATAGTACTTATGATTTTCATTTCTTTGCTGTAGGAGACGGTTCGACCAGAATATGAGGCTAGTGTGACTCGTAGAAGAACAAACCCTGTCACAAATGTACGTAAAAATTAAAATGAAAGGACAGTTTACAAATGAAACTGAAAGTATACTTTTTTGTTCAGGTTTTGTTTGTTTTTATTTGTAGAGAGAAGAGCCTTTTGTTCCGTCCTGGAGCAAGTGTTTTAGATATTTCACCAGTTTCAGTGTCCTGTTGTTCTTTGTAAGTAATGAAATCATATGCTTAATAATTTATAATGTTATCAAGAATGATTTTTAGTGGGAATGAGATTCTGCAAACCCAGTTTTTAAATTTAAAAAATGATATCAGATATCAGACATGAAATTTCACATGGAGAAATGCAGTTAGAAAAAAATAATGGCCATGTGCAGTATTAAAGAAGTGTTTGCTAAAATGTTCCAGATTTTTGTGTTAATATTTTGACTATTATTTCATTCTATATTTGTTTGCTTTGTTATTGAACAGCTGGCGTTAGTCTTGGCCGCAGTGTTTTCGGTCATTCTCTACCGTATTGTGATGTCGGCCATTCTATATGGTAATGAGGAGAACATCATTAAAACTCGTGCCAGCTTTATCTCCTCCATCACAGCAGCCTGTATCAACTTGGTCATCATCATCATACTTAACTTTGTAAGTTATAACTATATACAATATATCACAGCCTGTATCAACCTGGTCATCATCATACTTAACTTTGTAAGTTATAACTATATACAGTATACCACATCCTGTATCAACCTGGTCATCATCATCATACTTAACTTTGTAAGTTATAACTATATACAGTATATCACAGCCTGTATCAACTTGGTCATCATCATCATACTTAACTTTGTAAGTTATAACTATGTACAATATATCACGGCCTGTATCAACTTGGTCATCATCATCATACTTAACTTTGTAAGTTATAACTATGTACAATATATCACGGCCTGTATCAAATTGGTCATCATCATCATACTTAACTTTGTAAGTTATATCTATATACAATATATCACAGCCTGTATCAACTTAGTCATCATCATCATACTTAACTTTGTAAGTTATATCTATGTACAATATATCACATCCTGTATCAACTTGGTCATCATCATCATACTTAACTTTGTAAGTTATATCTATATACAATATACCACAGCCTGTATCAACTTGGTCATCATCATCATACTTAACTTTGTAAGTTATATCTATATACAATATATCACAGCCTGTATCAACTTGGTCATCATCATCATACTTAACTTTGTAAGTTATATCTATATACAATATATCACAGCCTGTATCAACTTAGTCATCATCATCATACTTAACTTTGTAAGTTATATCTATATACAATATATCACAGCCTGTATCAACTTGGTCATCATCATCATACTTAACTTTGTAAGTTATAACTATATACAGTATATCACAGCCTGTATCAAATTGGTCATCATCGTCATACTTTTGTAAGTTATAACTGTATACAATATATCACGGCCTGTATCAAATTGGTCATCATCATCATACTCAACTTTGTAAAAGCTAAGTATACAATATGTCACAACTTTGTAAGATCTAAGTTGACATATGCATGTATAGCAACTTTGAAAGACTTAAATAGATAATGTATCACAGCTTTGTAAGATCTTAGTATACATATATCACAGCATTGTAAGAGCTAAGTATACAATATGTCACAACATTGTTAGATCTAAGTATATGTTATGTCACAACTTTATAAGATCTAAGTATCACTACTATGTAGGAGCTAAGTATTAAGAATACCCCTTTGGGTGTTATAGGATTTGATCAGGTGACCGACTGCATGTCCTATCCCAGTAAAACTTTAAAAATATTGCTTAAATAAAGTTGTTGGATTAAAATGATTATTTTCTTCATAAAACAAGTCCTAGCATAATAAATTAGATATGTCACAAGGAATGGTATCATTTTCTGGTATCTTAAGTATTGTTTATTGGACAGTAAATGAAAAAAAAAAACAGCAAGAAACATTTCAGAAATTGATAGAAAAAAGCGATGTTGGCCATCTGAATGGAAAAAGCACCCAATTATAAAATTATGTTTAAGATTATTGTGTATTAATTTTAAATTTTAAAAAGTAACTCTGTTATGGTCTATTTCTAAATATTTGGCATAATAAAGAGAAGTATAGTGTTTGTCCACAGACATGTTAAAAATTCAAAATCCCTAGTTTTGACATTTACATCAGTAAGCTAGCTTAAACTCTCACTAGATCATGCAGCATGTATATACAAAGTATTTACACTTAAGTGTGTATTGTTTTATTTTTTATGCATTTAGTAAATCATGGTCTATATTAAAATATATATAGAACATGTTTGGCAGTTTGGTTATTATTAAGAAAATTATAGCATTTGTCTATGAAAGAGCAAAGGCCATTTTGGGCCTTCTTTGGCCCTGTAAATTTCAGAAAAATTAAAACTGCATTGTTGTAGTCGACAAGGCAATAAAATATCACTTAAACCCTTGGTGACTGAATATCTATGCATTATGACGTCAGGAATTAATTGCGTCATTATTCACATATCCTGAATATTTCTTCTAAAATTGACAAAATATGATGCTATCTGAAGTGCAAATATATAATGAAAAACTGCTTATGAAGATAATAAAACATATTTTAATTTTTGGATCGAGGGTGTGCTCATATCTTAATTCTTTGCTGAAGGTTCTAAAATACACCTGTTTTCTGCAAAATTCAAGAACATTGCAATTTTGCACAACTGGTTTGTCAATACCTGAGCTTTTTACAGGAAACTTTGTTATACAAACTGAAAGCACTAAGTCTCTACTTTATATTGATGTTGAAAATTGGACATAGGGTTTTAGTCAATAAATTGGTATTTCTACAGGGCCATTTTATGCATAAAGTGAACCTAGCTCTTTGTAGATAACCCTCATAGATATTGGATATAGCATAATGCAAAGTGAAATTGTGAGCAAGAACTTATTTTCTTGTACAATATTTTGTAGTTCTATCAAAAAGTGGCATATTTCCTGACAGAACTAGGTGAGTATTCTTGTATTTCTTGACAGTTTTTTTCTTTTCAGGCCCTACCCTCCTTACTACTGGCAACATATTACCTAATCTAGATGCACTAAAAAATTTCTTCAAAATACAATGTCCTTTTTGTTAATTCATGAGTCATCTTGATTAATGTACTATGTAATTTGTATAGTTTGCATGCTGTAGTGCTGATGAAGATTAGAAGGTGAATATATAACTCATCACAAGGAGTCTACCCCAAACAAAATGAAATGGTGTCACATTTTTCTTAATTGGTTTAGGAATTTATTTAATTAAATTTGAAGTTATCAGATCTATAATTTTGTTCACTTCACTTTTATGATATTGAATTTGAAATAAGTGAATTCAAGTTATTTTTTTAATTGTGTACATTTCACACTTTTATGTTGCAGCAAGCATGATGCACAATATTCATTGTGGATATTTATTTTATTGTAAAATATTCTTTGATTGAGCTGGGTACAAATTTGAACTGTTGTTTAGTTAAAGCATGCTTTACAGTTTTATAATTTTAACTTCATTTTTCTAAGATTTTCAAAAAGAGCAAAATCTCAATTTCATTGAATTGCTTGATTTGATGTTTTTTAAATTGTACTATAATTCAAGTTTGCTCTTTGATGTAGCTTATTATATCAAATCTGTGAATTTTTTTTAATTAATGAAAAATTACATTTTTTCTTTAAAACAATTCATCATTTCACAATGAAATTATTTAAAATATTTACCCTTTGGATTGTTGGCTGTTTTATAGAATAGGGCCTAGTGAGATTCAGCTCACCTAGTTTATCTTAATTATGAAAAACAATATAGATTTTTGTATTTAAACACCCCACACTTTCAGAACAACACCGTACCCTCACAGAGTGGGAGGATGCCTTCACCTTCAAAATGTTCCTGTTCCAGTTTGTCAACTTCTACTCTTCCATTTTTTACATTGCCTTCTTCAAGGGGAAGTAAGTCTGTCGCAGAATATCAACTGTATGATTCTTATCAGTACTGGAATAAAAGATTAGCAACTTGATGCGAAGCATTGATTAGCTTTATTTATATGTTATTTTTCTGATTGACAGATTTGTAGGAAGGCCTGGGGATTACAATCGTAGTCTCCTGGACAAGAGACAAGAGGAGGTAACTCTTATATATTTAAGACTACATTGTAATGAAAAGTAATTTATATACATGTATTTTTACAAAGTTTTGTATAAGGAGAAGACTATCTAAGTTTCAGAACTTGTGTCATTTTTACTTAATGTTCAAGTAATTTTTCATTTAATAATTAATAATTAATATACATGTACACTTGTATGATTCTCTGAAATATGTTTCGTTTGTAAATAGAGCATGTATTAAAGAAATTACACATTTGATAAAAGAAAGTAAACTGTCCCATTCAGATAATTTGAAATACAGTGAAGTGGAAATTTCTACTTGCTCTTTCCATTATTTTTAAAACTTAAGTTTAATCTAACTTTTTCCTGAGAGTCTTTAATCATGTTCCTAGCTTGTTTATGATGAACTGCATTTTTTTTATGGTAAAGATCTTAATTCTCCATTTTTCTTTTGTTTTCAGTGTGACCCTTCAGGTTGCCTTATTGAGCTCTGTATACAGCTGGGCATTGTCATGGTGGGAAAACAAATTATTAACAACCTTAAGGAGATTGTCATACCGTAAGTAATCTGTCAACAGTTAATTAACAATGTTAAGTAGGGTGTCATACAGTATGAAATCTGTGAACAGTTAATAGACAACATCCAGATTGTCATACAGTAGGTAGTCTGTAAATCATCAGTTAGAAACATTAAGGAGATTGTCATACCATAAAGCAATCAATAAGCTAATAAATCAAAACTTATTCCCACTCAAAAACAAAATGTTTTGCTTACTTTCTATTGGGTAATAAAAATTCTGGCATTTGTGTTTTGTACAAATTTATGGTTTTCATACTGAATTTGTCATATTTAATCCTTAAATGTTTTATGTTTCTATATACGAGGGTTGTTAGAAAAGTTCACGGACAAGTTCTATTGTAAGCGTGCAATTTGCATGAAACCAGTAAAACTCTGCAGACAAAAACTATACACATTTTCCAATAAATATTCAAATATTTGGTGTTTTCTGATGATCCTTAAAAAATTTACAGCTTATTAAGAATGGAAGGATTGACATTTTTGATGATCAACTCTTGTGATACCCCAGTACCCCGCTTATCGCATGGACGTTGCACCTATGGATTTTGCATTGTTTCCATATACTATGTAGACATTCATTTTAAGATCTCACTAATATACGATACGCCACAATAAGACATTTCAGAAAAAAGTAACATGTCTTTATATAGTTATTTGATTTTTTAATAGGAAAAAAACATGAAAAGTCTACAGAAATGAAAGATATTTAGAACTTTGAAAAGGCTTAATAAGTTTGGAAACATGTCACATCACGAACCTAACGTTAAGCGATTGCTACGTGAATCCTATGACCGCATAGTAAAAATCATCGTATATTTTCAAACTTTCAATAAATGGACCTGATTAATAAACGAAAGTTAAGAATTTAAGCAGACATACCTCATTTTTCAAAATACACATTACATTTTCCGTAAATTAATGTGTATGTGAACTTTTCTAACAACCCTCATACATGTGTCTAAATCATAGCAAATAAACCTTTTAAATGCTTTTGATTTTTTCTCCCAACATAGAAGTAAAATTTCTGAACAAGAAGAATATTTAAGATTTCTCTTTAACATAGAACAGCAAATTAAGGCTTAATCTATGTTTGATGCAGCAAGGTAATGGTGTGGTTCCGTTCACGGCAGTCCTTGAAGGAAAAGTCAGAAGAAAAAGTATACTCACGCTGGGAGCAGGATTATAATCTCGCCAATATGCCAGCTCTTGGATTGTTTGATGAATACTTAGAAATGGGTAATTATCTTGGCCTCATCCTACCCGTTGTTTCCATATTTAGACCAATATAATATACATCTAAACTTCAGTATTTTTTGAACAAAAATATCTGAAATACCAAGGATATGTCGCAGTGATTTGGAAGTCCCATTCACATATTCTTTAAATATTTAACCCTTGATATCTCAAATCCTCGGAATTATCTCAAAATTTTTTCATGGTCTCAGATAATGACGTTTGACTGTATATCTGTTGTTTTATAAACTCAAATTGTAATCTTTCATGTTGAAGTATCTTTTTCAATTCTTCAGTGATTCATTAGGCCTTTATTGAATAGATGTATTTTTCAGTGATTCAGTATGGATTTGTGACAATTTTTGTGGCAGCTTTCCCTCTAGCTCCACTATTTGCGCTCATTAACAACATCATAGAGATCCGTGTTGATGCTTACAAGTTCACAACACAGTGGAAGAGACCATTAGCTGAACGAGCTCAAGATATAGGTAAAGTTAGATTGGCTGAGTGAGCTCAAGGTATAGGTAAAGTTAGATTGGCTGAGTGAGCTCAAGGTATAGGTAAATAAGATTGGCAGAGTAAGCTCAAGGTATAGGTAAAGCTAGATTGGCTGAGTGAGCTCAATATATAGGTAAAGTTAGATTGGCAGAGTAAGCTCAAGGTATAGCTCAAGGTATAGGTAAAGTAAGATTGGCTGAGTGAACTCAAGATATAGATAATGATATATAATTTTAGATTCAATGTTACTTCGCAGAAGTCAAAAATAAAAGAAAGGGAAAAAACACATAAATCAAATGTTAGACCTATCTTTCAAATTAAATGAATATAATGTTCTCTCATTATCGCAAATCTTGCTTGAAAGTATACACTATGACCGAAATAGTGATGCGTTGAGTGACGACACTGTTGAATCTGACTGACATACCATTGCGAAATCCAACAAAGAATCTGATTGGTGCATTTTTAATACTCCGCCCACATTCTCAAATGTATTGCCAAAAACGTGGAATGTTTCCAAGATAGAAAACGGGCAAAAGAGCTTCAGTATTTTCTTTTGGTGAATAAGTGGGACGATGCAATACCTTAAATGATTGTGAGTGTTGGTAAACTGTAAAATGGTCTTTCAAATAAAATCTGTGCCAGGACTGGCAGGAGTTGACTTCATACATCTGTACATTTACCCCGGGGCCTAATTCTGCGATAGAAAAACATGGCCTTTTTCCCCCGTTTTCTTCTTCAGTGCATTAATACGTAAACAACGTAATTAGATTCAGTGAATATATTGTTTAATTATTTATTTTTTAACATGGAAGTTTATATGATATTTATTATTTTATAATGAATATATAAATATTTGCCATTAGTAAAACTTGCACTGAAAAAAAAAAAAACACAAGTATTTAGAATTTTCTTGTTTATTGCAATGACAGCCGTTAAAATGGGAATGCAGTAGCACACACACATTTGAAACATGGTATTTCTTGACAGTTGTGGCAATTAAACAGTAAACTTTTGAATAATTCCGATGTTTCACATGTGTTTTACCAGCTATGAATATAGACTAGCCCTTAATATTTTTTTTCAATAATAAGAGCTCCGGTATCAGCTGGGAATGCTTTACAATAATACCCGAGTTTTCAATTTACTTGGGTTTGCCCATCTTCGCTAGCCAAGGGTTTCCGATCCGAGTAGATTATTGATCGGAAATCCTTGGCTGGCAAAGATGGGGTTTGCCTAGAGCCCTAGATAGAATGTTCCATGGTTAAAATGATGTTGTCCTACGGACCCGGTTTGTGGTGAGGGCTTGTCCCGAGACAGTTAGATTATTCTAACTAGGGTTGGCCTACCCAGTGTAATAGTTCACTTGTTTACAATCACTAGGGACTAAAACATAGAGAAAAAGATTTTTAGAGCACCGAAAAGTCGCACAGACTATTCAATTTAACGAACACCGAAAATGGAGAATGCCGTCAATTTATTGCAGAGGAAATCGGCAGATACATGTAGGATAACACAGTTTTTGTCATTGAACAATTTACATGTACTGTATTTGGAAGGAATATCACATGCTGAAATATGATTTTGTGCTTTGTTTCTTTTTTTAAGTTCAAAAAGTCAACATCAATTTTCGACCTTCAAACATGGCTATTGGCGAGGCCATTGGATGCTTTCTAAGTATATACCACACGAGAGTGGGCGGGTCCTAATCAACCAATTAAAACGCATGTTTTATAAAATGTAACCCGTGATTCAAATTGTTCAATTGTCAAATCCAATTGTGTCATCACTCAACGCAACGCTATTTCGATCGAAGTGTATACTTTCAAACGAGATTTGCAATAATGGTATTGATATAGAGCATAAAAAAGCACATTTAAAAATCAGTTGTTAATATAATGAATTTTACTTTGATTTAATAATATTTGCAAAATACTTGTCACTATAATGCAATTAGAATAATAATGATAAAGAAAAATTTCTTTCATCATAATTCTTATCAAATTGTCTTTTTAAATTACAAAATCCTGTGATAATTTATTTGATTATGTGATGTAGGTATTTGGTTTGGAATCTTACGAGGAATCTCGGCAATAGCAGTAGTTTCAAATGTAAGTTACAATCTGTATGTATATATTCTCTATCACTCACTGAACAATGACTTGTATATTAATACTTACAGTATAAGTGTTTAAAAGTGTTTAAAATTTTAGCAAGACACAAATATGGCAATTTGTCCTTTAAAACTATTATATATATGAAGTGAGAGGTAATTTTAGCTCTAGACTTTTGTTTTGTGAAGAAAGAGAACTATTACCTCCAATCTTAGCACTGTTGCTAATAAAAGATGTCAGTCATTCAATTATTTTTTCTTGCACACAATCATGTAATAACACAAATCTAGTTTGAAGGCTACATATACCATTAAAAAGTTTAGAAAATGCATGCATTTTGTAGACACATGTATTTTAACAAATGAATAAAGAATATATTTCCTAGATTCAAAATTTTGTGTGAGTATGTTTAATTTATTATTAATGGGTACTGTTCTTTATTTCAAGGCTGCAATCATTGCATTTACTTCGGAGTTTATCCCTAAGCTGGTCTACTATTATGGCTACAGTCAAAATCATACTCTGGCGGGGTACACCAACTTCAGTCTGTCCGTGTTTAAGGTGCAGTACTTCCAGCCTCAGAGTGTCCCTGATGACAAGAAAATCAGTCTGTTTGGCAATGTTACAGAATGCAGGTCAGTAAAAGACTACAGTAAAATAGAGTGTAATTGATTTAGCACATATAGGTACAGTAAATACAGTTGAACTTCGCTATCTCAAACACGGATATCTCAAATGCCATGAATATGTCGAAGTGATTTTGAAGTCCCAAGCATTTATTTCTTTAGTATTTTACCCAGGATATCTCGAATCCACAGATATCTCAAAGTATTTTCTTGGTCCTGTGATGTTGGAGATAACGAGGTTTGGCTGTACATGAAATATAGGGCTGTAGGAAACATTTTGGGGGGGGGGGGGGAGGGGAAGGGTCACAACCAAACAACAATTAAAATTCTTTGACATGCAAAAAATAAATAAATAAAAGTAATACAATTCATCAGGCATTTTTGTTCATGAAGCCATTAGTAAGCTTTGTTTTCCATTGTACAATGTATTTTGGTATGTGTATGAATGTGTCATGTGTAATACATGTGTCTATAATCTGTAGACTGAGGTGAAAGCAGAGTCTACTTCTTTATCCCAAAAACTGACAAAGTTTTGAAAAAGGATTAAAATTGGTGTTTGTAAAGAAGAGGTTAGACATTCTTATTGACATCCAGTATGATGAAGTAATCGAGGATTATTACTAGCTATTGTAGAATTGATATATGGATTAATATACACCTATTTACTGGCTATGAGGACAATAGCAAGTTTATCGTCCCCCAAGACAGCAACTATTTCCTGAGGCGCAGCCGAGGGAAATAGTTGGTGTCGAGGGGGACGATAAACTTGCTATTGTCCGAATAGTCAGTAAATAGGTGTTTTATTATACCGAAGCCAACTTTACTTGTGTTACGTCACAATCTGGATAAAACCAGAAGAGCTCCGAAATGAAAAGCGAGGGAAACGGAATGCTGCCGGTGAATAGTTTGATGACTATTTCACCATGGGCTTATAGCACAAAAACTATTCCACGGTTTAAAAAAATAGCACATTTATTCGTCATATTTTTATGTAGAAAAAAATTCACAGAGGTATAATAAATTTAAATATGGTTTGTTTTAAGATCTCCAAAAGGCACTGTCTTCTTTGGCCATAGAGTAAATACATGTATATTAAATGTATGTATAATGAAGAATTTGTCTTTCCCTCCAGGTTTGATTCCAACTTTTCACTCGATGTGATCTTTATATTGTATAAGTGAAGGCAGCATTTGCCAGCAGATGTATTTAAATTAAATAAATGCTATTGGCTATATTTTATTTTGCAACTAATAAACATCATAAATTAACTATTTTATTGCTTTTTGTAATAAGTTTGTTGCTTTAAAAGAGTAATTATAAGGAATATGTTCAGCCTGCTAGATTCAGAACCACAAGTTTCTCATAGATTTATGTTATACATTCCAGGTACCGAGGATTCTTCGCAGAAGACCCCAATATGCCTGGGGAGTATAACTACACAATGGCGTATTGGCACATTGTTGCAGCTAAACTTGCTTTTGTTGTTGTCTTTGAGGTTAGCCCTTGTTCTTTCCTAAAAACATTTCCTAACATGTACATTTATTTAATATATGCTGGTCATGGTGATAATTGATGCAAATAGAACATACATTGGAAGGGGTTGAAAGTTCTCTAGCATGCAGCCCATAAAAAATTCTAGTAATATGTGTCTCATGATTTATTCAAATCTTGGTTGCTTTATATTTGTGACAGTAAAAAAATATTACAATATTTTATTTTTTAGAATGTTGACAAAGTTGTTTTTTCCTCTACTTGTCTTTGAATTCAGGTTGAAATATATAATTATATACAATCAGTGATGATAGCTTTGTTATTTTTGTTTCAGAATTTAGTGGTGTTTTGCACATGGCTAGTGATGTACTTAATTCCAGACATGCCTTTTAAAGTTAAGTTACAGATGCTTAGAGAAAACTTTCTGGCCAAGGAGGCCTTGTTCAATGCAGACACAATCCAGAAACAGCGAGAACAGCGGACAAAGGAGGAGCGGTGAAGTGGTGCAATTAGATATTGAATATTTATATTTATGTTCTACTTAATCTGTATACATAGTTTGTATATAACAATATGTAACCATGACCAAATTAGTAGAGAAAATTGTGTTCTCAGAGTAGGCATTTCGAAATGTTATTAAATGTAGCATTCTTTTTGAAATTTGTTTTTTTTTTTTTTTTAATTTTTTTTCTCTTAGTTTGTTTCATTTTCCCCCACTGTTTGCCTTTATTGATCAAATATAACTGACAGAATCTTTTGCTTTACTGCTGGTAAATAAGAATTTTGAGGTACTGAGCAAATGCTGACTCAACTATTTGATTAGTAATGTAAGGGAATTTAGGTTGATAGACAAACTTAGCTTTGAAAAGTGAGATAAATCTATTGTCAAAGTTTCATATTTTCATAATATTTCTATGGGGAACTTAATTTACTGTATTTCACAATTTTTTGCAAGACCTTGTTTTCATGAGAGAGACATTTGGTATTTTTGAACCAGATAAAAATTTTCATGAATTTTTGTTATTCTTGTATTTAATCTATGAAACAAGAAATATATGCAAGGACAAAATTTTCGTTTGCAGACATTCTTGAGTAATTATACAAAAATAAAGTTTTTGTAAATAAAATATGATTTTAAGTATGCAATATACTGTTTCATTTAGACTGGTTAAAAGCAGATAACAAAATATTAGAGACTCTCTCACTTTTATTCAAGATGAATTTGTTGGTTATGGTTAAAGCTTCTTCGATTGATTTTTTTCGATGAATGAATGCAAGTATTTGATGTAATATTTGTGCATTTATTCCTGAAAATTTACAAATGCATAAAGCGTTTTCATGTTGTGCATTGAACATTTTTTTTTAAATTAACATAATATTCATGAATTACATGTAAATGATGGTTTGATAGCCTGTCCTTCATATACATTTTTTTTTTTTTTAAAAAAAGCGGTATTTAAAATGATACATCAAATTTTGATGCAAAATTCCACTTTTTAGAATACCATGGTAATTAAATACGCAATATCTGTCAGTTTATGTTGTCAACATATTATTTGAATTATTATTATGTTGTTTATTTCAACATAGTAAATTTCCATATCAGGAAATACAGTTTCTATTTGATGTTTTTTATTTGACTGTATTTAAATATTGTACATTTCATGCATGATAATTTCATTGTATATGTTCGTTATTTAATCAGAGAAAAAGGCATGTTACATGTATAATCATTTAAGAGCTAACTTAATTTGTCCATTTCAAAGTTTCTCAAATAAAAGTTATGCCCTTTTTATGGAGAGATAATTATGGAATATGGAAAATATGCTAAGGTCATTGAAAGATCCTTCTCAAGAAATAGTAGGCCAGAAAAAATAAAAAAGTCGTTGTTCAAGCTTCCAATGGAGGAAGGATCGGTCTACAATAGGGGATCCATGTTTTCCATGAGAATTCACTGGAAAAAAGTCATATATTTGATAATATAAATGATGGATACAGTAGGGTTTTCTGTATAAAGATAAATTGTACATTCTTAGGATTGATTGATTGTATGTTGTTTTTCGTCCCATTCTTAAGGAAGGTAAGGCCCAAATCAGTCTTGCACAAAAGAAATAAATTGATATCCACAACAAGGCTATGATTTTCAGAACAGGGGTATCATTTGTATACATATTCATTGTTGGCAAAAAAAGATGATACGGGTGAATGTTGTGACACACAGGCCTCTCCTCTTTATTTTAGAAGATAAAATATGCTGATATTTCAGTAAGTTTTTATGAACCATAATTTAAAAATACTTAAATCAACAATTTTTTTTTCATTATCAAAACCTTTCATTTATTCCCTTTTATACATGTAGGTGTATAAGTGTTATAATATTTTTGCATATATATTCATATATAAATAGTTTCATCCAGGATATAAATACAAGATGAATATTTTGCATTTACTTTGTGTTACATGTAGTGCCTTAATGCAAGAATGTTAAATGTTACAATACTTTATATAACATGATTACTTTCGTCAATAAAGTAAAAAAAAATCCAAACTGATTCATATTTAGTGCAATATTTCTTTGTAGGTATTTTTCACTTACCAGAATTATATTATGTACTTGTATTTGTAACTTTTGTAATGAACAGCATTTTTATATTGGTGTAATTCATTATTGTTTAATATGTGGTACATTACCTATCCTTTAACCTGTACCATTTGTGTACTTTTGGTAATTCTTTACAATCAACATTATTTATGTCATATCTTGCTTGTAGAAGTTCATGATAGAATAATACAAGATTAAAAGCAGAAATATGTATTTGACATTGTTTTTAGAATAATAACAGTCTTTTTTGCGCTTCATGACCAAGAGGTAAAAGAAATGCACCGAGTTTCCAAGAAACCCTGTTAGAATCTTCTTCATTGTGTTCTGTCCTATGTTGAAATTAGGATTGTTTTTGCATCACTGTGTAGTTTATTGGTCAGGAGCAGGATTATTGAACCTCTATATAAACTATGAATTGACCAAATGAAAAGTGAAGATAACGAACAGGGATCCATCTCATAAACATGAAACTGAAAAAAGCCAAAAATATGGACCCATGGTAACTAAAGATGGAATCAGTTGCTTAGAGGGAGTAAGCATCCCCTTTCGACCGATCACGCCACTATGAGCCCTCTATATTTATCAGGTTAATGGAATCTAACAATTGGTATGACACATGTTACTCCAAATACGACCCATAACCAAGATTTTGCAAATGACGTCATCATAACGGTCTTAGAATTAACAAAATGTTGATTGTAAACAAGATTGTTTGAAGTTTTGTATCATCAACTTAATTGTCAGTAGTGTTCATTGATTAATAGGAATTGATTTGTACTCTGAGGATGTCTTTGTTTAGCGAATCAGCCGGGAGACCTAAACACCATATGATGAAAATAAAAGAAAGTTACCTTATATTTTGAGTAATCTCTTTCTAATTTCGTTCTTCAGTGTGAGATTATTTTTCTTTACTATTCGTTATGTTAAACCTACTGATGCGTCATAGAAGTTTTATCCATGTTATAGTTTTGGTATTTATTTAAAAAAAAGGTTAACAAGCGTAAAAATAATCTGTTTTTAGAATTTTACGAGTTGAAATTCAGCAACTTGGAACATATTAGAACATATAAGAATAAAAACGTTTTGCAGCCATTTCATCCTTTACCCTACCTTACTTTAGAAATCTTGTTAAAAAATCTACAGCTTAGAAAAAATAGAAGACTTATAAATTTGACGTTTATTTTAAAAAGTATATTTTTTTCCCAGAAAGATGCTTTGAAATACCTGTTGAAATTACATATGTAGCTTTAATAAATACCTTTATTAAGAATTTAAAAAAACAAAATATTATAATAATACTGCATGAATATAACGCCAACACTTGACAAAAAATTTAATTTGAAGCCTGTCTTTAAGATGAGACTGTAAGAATCGAGGTCCCGCTTTTCATCAAATACCGGAAAAAGATCCCCTACTGGTCTGTTGCCGTAAGTGCCTTGTACAGGTCTAAAATTTTGCAGCCAGACGGACGGACGTACACCCCCATCACTAAATACCCCCAAGCTTTTCAAGCGGGGGGTATAACTATCTGACATAATTGAAGTTATACATGTACATGCATCAGGAACTTAAATATTTGGAAAATTAGAAAGGAACTTAATTATTTGGACAATTGGAACGTACATATAAGTATTTTCCATTTTTATAATTTGTATCCTCTGTTTAAGTTTCTGAATTGTGTATGCTTAGTATTTCATATAGTGGGTTAATACAGGAAACGGAGAAAAAAATAATGATTGATTTTCACTTCAATATATTAGAAAAATCGAAACTTATTCGTATTTAGAGCAATACTTTCCTATAGATATTTTACTTATACATGTATACATGTATCTGTATAATTATTTACTTGTAACGCTTGTAAAGAATTAGTGTCTAATTTTTTACATGGCATGTATTATTGTTAACTGACTGTTAAGGTGTTTAACTACTCGGAAGTCGTCAGAGGAGTACAGTTGACCTATTATTTCATTACCATCAATATGAAATATCATATCAAGCCTTTAGAAAGTTAAAGTAATACTGTTTGTTACATGTGCAATGTACTTTGTTTATGGAATACTAATATTCGTTTATTGCGAACACACCCGATGAAACGTAACCATTGACAATAACAGCGCTCGTGTCTTGTTTACAAAAACAGTTTACGTTTCACCTGTAGTGTCTAATTTGTTTAACTCTGCACTCATCAATGAGCACGGACTGACAATACTGGTGAGTTTGTTTTGCTTTCTCTTATTTTTACTTGAATTTTCTGGATTATACTTTTAATATTTTTCATTCATACACAACCAAATTTCTACTTTTCTTATTGATAAGTACTTAAGAATAAAGTTTACTTTGTGAAAGTGCAAGGATGTGTCAATCATGCAGACGCGTCCCGAAATTCTAAGTTTCAATAATTCCCAGATGTAATAAGTTTCTGAACACGCTTTTATTATATTTCCGTGTGAAATGCTATAGCAACATTTAAGTCATGATATTATACAGAAAATATTAACTTTAAAATCTATGTCCAGGCCCCTTTAACCTTGGACCTACAGTGTAACTTTTGAAAGGTTAGAACTAGAGCCTTCATATTCACAGGTGTATTCCATTTGTCAAGGCCTTCCTTTGGATACGAACATTTTTGACCTTTTGACCCTGACCTTGGAGTTTGGCCTACTTTTGAAAAACTTTAACCTTGGCCTGAACTTTGGAACAGTTGATGCCAAGGCTTTTATATTTTACATGTGTATTTCTTATGACAAGGCCTTCCCCTTGGTACCTTTAGTTTAAATCTGTGACATTGGAGTTTGACCCACATTTAAAAAAAAACCTTAACCTTGGCCGTAACGGTTTATTGGTTGGTGCTTGGGATTTCAAATTTCACAGGTTTATTCATTGAGACAAGTATTTTCTTTGAGAAACAACATTTTTCATCCCTTGACATTGGAGTTTTACCTGCATTTTAGAAACTTCAACCTTCGCCAAAAGCTGTCATACGGGATATCAGTGTTTCACCAACATATCTTGTTGTTTAAGTTATTATAAGTGTTGACTCGAAAAAGATCCTTCACTGCTCAATGGCCCTGAATATCGAGTAATGGTCTAAATTTGCTGCCTTTTATTACCGGCAATTGGTGGCGTCTCAATATGAGTAAAAATTCTCGAAAAAGACATTAAACAAATATACAGAAAGAAACAAAACACACAAAACATAAATACAAATACGATTCTAGCCCACGTGCGTCTTTGTAGAAAATAAATTACTGAACTGTCACGCACGTGGTACCATTAGTAGTAAACCCAATTCTAATATTCACCTGTAACTGTCCATTCTTCAGACAAAGACCTATTGTTATTTGCATCTGGAAACACAATGGCTATTCAACAAATTGCTGCCCACCCCTAGCTTATCTGTGACTGTCCATTCTGTAAACAATGAACTTGTCGTTGTATATATGTGCTACCTGTAATATCTGATACCAGTTTTGTACATTTTTTTTTAAAATTTAATTTCTCAGAACAAAGGAAATCATGTTTTAAGTAGGAGAAAGGCCTCAAAATGACCATTCTGTGAGAGAAAGAACTAATCTCGGGTCTACGGCCCTCGATTAGTTCTTTCTCTCACAGAATGGACAGTTAAAGCCTCTCTCCTTTACATATTTACCCAATGAACGTATCTATGTACATGCAGTCTTAGACTGTATATGGTCTTTAAACAGTCTGTTGGAATTACATGAGTTATAATTATCCTTTATTAACTGACTTGTAAAGCATGTGCATGATTCTAGGATTAAACAATTTTTCTGATCAATTTTGACATGCGCATTTTAAAACTATGTTTTAGACTTTTTTGTATTTAGTAAACGCTTTCTTGGTCAGAAATTAATAATTCTAAATTTCAAACAATTGTGGAAAAACAAATAAAAAAAATCTATCAAAAAAAAAAAAAAGCAATTTTGTTTGGCAGAAAAGCGACCCAAATCTGCGGAAAGATGGAAAAGTGAAGACTGTGCCAAATTCAAACTCAAAGTTTTTCATACGATTGGCACCTTAACGCCTGTATTCCAGTTTCAAGAATGTAGTGTGAAGACAAGTGTGGTGTGCATGACAAACAATTTTTGAATTATGAAACAAATTTATTGAACTACATCCAATATACATTAAAATTAAAGTATATTTCTTTATTCCACTGACCAATCAACTACATTATTTAAATTGATGAATATTACACTTAACAAATTATCATATGTTTATAACATAAGGCAATATTTTTTTTTTCAAAATTGAGAACAAGTCAGTAGAGCCCTGCCCAACACCAGAGACCTTGACACAGTCGTAAAAATTTAGAACAGACAGACGACGCACAACGACGGACAAATCAGGTAGCTATAGAACAGAACAGAACACAACAGAACATTTATTTTCTAATTCAGAGCCCATAACAGACAAGTATGAAATTATTACAATAATCAAGAAAAGATATGCCAATGGATAGTATAACAATTTGTAAATGACATTGCTCATTTCAACAATAATATTGTACTATTTCAGTTAAAGGGAATACTATATATAAAACTGTATGGCTACTATGTCACCAGAGTGACTCAGGTGATCTAAAAATAATGTTTATGCGTTGGCATAGAGGCATGGTGGCCTCGATACTGAAAAGATATATTCATTTTACACCATTCCCGATCATCGCCTACATATTATGTATTATATGACTTATATCAGCATTGTATTTTTTCACATATAATTATGACAAAATACTTGTGTTGTTTATATTTTGCTACTACTTTTTAAAAAATCGATTTTGAGATCCCGTGATATTCCCCTTTATCGCTGGACTGCATTAGGTGCATTTAAACACGGCGAAATTAAACTTCTGTCTTGAAAACGGAAGTGTAGTATTATCACCTGAAAATAAATTCTAAAATATTGACCTTCATGATTATTTATATGTACATCTATTTTTCTATAACAATATTTTTATTTACTGTTTGAAGCTGAGTTGCAAGTTTTATTTATATATTAGGAAAGCATAGGAGTTCAATAAGTTGTAAATAGATCAATGCATCAAAACAGTTTTTAGTATTATCTATTTTTATAAACATACCTGTAAATGTGAAGGCCAATAAACGAATCCCTGGATCAATATCCGGTTAGTGAATTTTGTTTGGAAATTTCCTCTATTAACTGTAATTGAAAAAAAAAAATACGCTTAATATTGACGAGGTAAAACCCCTGTGATAATTTATAAAAAGAAATGCGAACAATAAGGAGTGACTTGAAGGAGTTAGTAAACTTATTTATAATCAACTTTCATTTTAAAACATAATAATGGCAGATTGCTACATAAATAAAGGAAGATGACGATAGAAAACTTAAAGTCATCAAGTTTATCAAAAAAGTTTTCTTAGGTTATCATTAATGTCTTTTTCTAGTTAAATACCCAAAACACGAAAATGATATGTCAGCCTCTATGGTATCTTTTATTTCGAGTTCAAAAATGAATATTTGATTGTCTTTATTTAAGGAAATACTATGGTTTCAATTGTTACTAAGCGGTTAAATTGGTTAAAATAAAAAAATTCAGCATTTGTTTGCGTTTTGAAATTCCTTCATGAATTTAGAATTAAACTATTTATTTAGATGGACTTGAGATACAGTTTACTTATTCATAAACATCTATTAAAAAGTAAATATCTAAGAAAAATAACAAATATAACAAACCAACAGATGTATTTCCAGATATGACATACCGAGGGTTTGGTTACGTAGTGGATTCATGTCCTACCAGTGAGACAGAGTTTATCACAGCTGCTACCAGACTGAATTGTGGAGTGGACAAGTATGGACGTAATCAGTATACCTGTGTCCCTAACGAAGACAGATCAGCTCTTGTAGAATTCTGCTACGGCAAAATTGTCAGCTATTATCAAAAGGGTAAACAGAAGATATGTAATAGTTGCTATGGTATAGCAGAATCAATATGTGATTTTTCTATTGTCCAAGTATGTTCAGTAAAAATAATTTGTCCTTTTTTTCAAATTCTGTATCTCTTTGAAAATTAGATATATGCAAATGTTTTTTTTAAATGTATGCACAATCTGATTTAAACCTTTGAATAAAATTGTGGATATGATTATAATGAAGTTCATCTAATTAAACTAAGCAATTACCCAATAAATTAATCGATCATTTGAACCTACTTTTGAAACTCCTACTTTGTTAATTCTGATTCTGTGATATTGTTCTGCAGTTGAAGTAATCTGCCTTTAGATCTAAATTAAAAAAAAAAAAATAAAATCTACATTGTATTACTCAATTTGTAATCAATGCAAGCATCTTAAAAATTTTAAAAGGTCAAGTTAAATAAGCTTTATTTGCATGTATTTTCTCTACTGAAGTAAAACCAGTCACGGTAGCCTAGTGGTAGTTCGCTCGCTTCGTGATCGGAGACCCGGGTTCGATTCTCGTTCGCCGCGCCACCTAAAATCTAAGACGAAAACATAGGTAGTGACTGTTCTTTTGCCAAGCGCCCACACAAGACGAAACACTTCCTTTAAACTTGGCTTAATGGTGGCTTATAGGTTCTTAATGATGGCTTAATGGTTGTCACCATTAAGCACCAACAAGCTATCTTTAAGTAATAAATACACCACCATTAAGTTACCATTAAGCCATTTCAAAGTCCTTAATGGGTGCAAGGAAGCTTAATGGTGGCTTATAGGTGCTTAATGGTAGCTTCTAGACAATCTTTAATTCACCATTAAGCCACCATTAAGCCAAACTTATAAATGCCTAATGTCCAAACTAAATAAAGCTACCATTAAACCACCTTTAAGCCACCATTAAGTCACCATTACGCAGTCGATAAAACTACTTTTATAGGCAAAATATTATGTTTATAATGATTTAATCTCACAAAATATAAATGTCGAGCTTACGAATTTATTAATTTGGTAAAAATAATGTAAAAGAAAGAAAAGTTTAAAAAAAAGATTAAAATTAAAATGAAAAAAAACCCCGTCCAATCAGGATTCGATCCCGAGAACTTTGGTTTATGGGGCGAACGCGTTAACCGCTATCGGGGCTGTTGAAATTTAAGGGAAATGTAACACCTTTATTTTTAACGAAATTTGTATGGACTGGAACGTGTATATTTTAACATTTTTTTTCTTATATCTTTAAAATCAATAATATAATTATGTTTATATATGTTTAAAAAAAAAAACTTTTATCTTATGTTCATATGTCCTACCGTGGAGTTCGGTGTAAAACAACTTTTTGATTTATGTTATGATTTCTTTGCTCTGTTATTTTATTAGCATAGTTTTATTAGCATGAATAGATTGAAATTCAACAGATTTAACACATTTTTGTTATTAAAAAAGAGAATATCCCCCCAAAAATGAAGGAAAAACAGATTATAGTTCTTTTAAATACATGTATGCTGTGGATAATTACGGTTTTTTGTATCTAAATATTTGACAATCTTTAACGCTTATAAAATATTTTTTTAACACATCAACTTCAGTTTTAATTCTTTTTATCTTACAATGGGTATCAAAATAATTGTCTTTTTGCCTAGAATCATAAAGTTTAATTTGTTATATGCTTGCCGTTAATATTAAGCTTTTTGTAAATAATTGATCATCAAAATCTATCACTGTACGTTGTGTATAGTTCCCTGTTAGCTGACCAGGGACTGATGGGGACATCTAATTAAGGTCTATTGTCTAACCAGTAGATACATTGTACACTGTTTATTTTATCCCGCTTCCCAATGTGTATAAATCTGGTCGGATGTCATGTTTATTCTGATCGACTGTTCTTCTGAAAATCCATTTTGAATAACAATCATTGAAGATTGACTATATTTTGATAAATTCTTACTTTCTGCATTATTTTAAAAGGGGAAAAAAATAATGGCATTTAACCACGGATTAATTCAAATTGTTCATCATAGAATTCAATGATAGGCAAGGTAAACTATGCCTATATATATATATATATATATATATATATATATATATATATATATATATATATATATATATATATATATATATATATATATGTATGTATAAAATATCTTAAATATTTCTCTACATAAAGAAAGATTAGGAGACTTAGAGATAATATACCTTTTTTCCAGATAAAATGACTCTATATTACCATATTTTCTATGAATTCGGCAGCGGATAGTGGCTCTCCAGACACGAAAGAAAAATACAGTGTGATTTTTTAAAAATTAATATTTATTGTGTAATTATGGATGAAAAGAATTTTAAAACAAGTTTTAAACAAACTGATTTTTGGTACCGATAAAATATACAAAGCCAGGTGAATTTCATGAGATAAAGCAAAATGGTAAAAAGTCAGCCTAAACCACATAGGCTGATTTTTACCATTTTGCCTTTCCTCATAAAATTCCCTTGGCTTGGTATATTTTTTTAAAAGTTTATATTACACTTTTTGCACCATGCTAACATATTCTGAAATTTATTTTCATCTGTAAACCTTTACCGAGTGTGATTTGTCCACATTTGTAATTTTATTGAAGTATCAACTAATATTTTCCAAGTGTCATTTCTTTTATGCAAGAAAATACAACAGGTTATTGAGTAAATGTAATATCAGTTCACTCTGTGCTCCTTTAGAAACATTTCTGAAGACAAAAAGAGGGTAAATGAATGAAGATTAAACAATTTTATCATGATTACTCTAGTTGTGTACTTTTTGGGAAAAATTTGGAAGGTATTTTATTCTCCGAGTCTAAGGAGGAAAAATCAACGAATTATCCACTTTTCTTAAACTGTGACATGATATTAAGTCTTCTCCAAAGAAAAAAAATGTTTGTATCATCTGTCCTTAAGGTCCTTTCTTTACTTATATATTTTTTTTTCTAAAAGTTGTGAAAAATACATCTATAATTTCATGTGATAAGATTCGTTAACTTCAAAGCATTACATGTATACCAGACAAATGAGTTACAGTTAAATCCTAACGCTAATTCAAAAAGAAATACTTTGATAAAATTGCATATTGATAGAAAAGTAGATGAAAATTGAATGAATCTCTCACTGACCCAATTCGTTGTTATCATAGAAATTCTCTAATCATTTATATTGATTCATCTGTATTTTTTTTAAATTAGGACATTGCCTTGTGACATTCGGGGATGGATATTTGGATCAAATCAGTTGTGATCAATTTCAAGCTGGTTGTCCGGAGGCAAATTTCCGAGGAAATGACTTGTACAAATGTTTGTATTTTATAATTCTTTGAGCAAATTTGTAAATGTAAATCTTGTTGTATCCAGGTTTGTAAATTTTTTTTTTTTTTAGTTTCAGCTTGCAGTTTAATCAACACAGAAAAGCAATGTTTTTATGCAGAACTCTCTTGTCCGAACACGTAAACTTTGATTTGAATTTTTTTAATTCCATGGTCATAATTGTTCCCAACATTCTTGTGACTGTGTGCATTTATATAACCAAAATATTTAATTAGTTCTTTTATGTTTCTCTAGATATTGAAAATATTGATTTATTAAAGATTTAAGTCCTTTTCTACTAGCAGAGTATATTTGTCGCAGATCCCAGTTTTCTCCTGGTCATTATGACATAAACCGATCGCTTAATGTATCATGAATCTAACAATGAGAAAAAAAAACAGCAATTATCTGTGTATTCTTTTTAATGCTATTGACTTGTAAAATACCCCCACTTCTATCATCATATCATCGCAAACCAAAACCTTTTGGCTTTTATGATCATCATGGGACTTTTGCCGGTGGCAAACCAGTGATGGTCAAAAAATTGTTCAATTGTCTTTAAACAAGAAAAACCTGAACGGATATATTACTTTTCCCCAAGTATGAAACATACTTGTTGGGACCTGTCAAATACACCTTAAAACTTAATTGCATTAATTGTAGAACGATTTCCAGTTCTTTTCATCAAAGTACAATGGTTGAGGTACTGAATACAACAACCAACATGTTGAGCACAGAAACCAGTGCTACAAATCAAGAATCAAGCACTGTAGGCATGATAATAGGAAGTATACTCTGTCTATTACTTCTGCTGTCCCTGGTTTTTGCCTTTAAATTCTGGAAAAGAAGAAAGTCAAGAAGATACCAAAAGGTTCTTTTGAAAACAAGTAGGTTGTCAATATCCCAAGTATCTCTTTTAAATTTAGGGTTCGCGGCTAGGATAAGACTGTCCGTAAAATATCAAACTGTTCCAACTGTAGTAACGTCTCTGAACTACCTAGATATGTCGTCATAATAGCATATGACGTCAAGTCACTGCATACTTGAGCTGAGATGACGGGGAAAGTGTCACAACTTTTACATTCCTTTCAAATGACATGTAGAATTCTTGCCTTGTTTTTTAATTCAAGTATTTGGATTGTTTCTTAAGCTCTAATGTGCTGTTATGATGTTGAACATTTGCAATTAATATTTGCAATTAATATTTTTATTCCTTTCGCTTGTCCGATATCAACATATTCACACAATAACATAAAAATGCATGTGAAACGCTCCCCCTTACACGTCCGTAGACGGAGTTGGAATTTATGAATCGTCTATATATTTGACTGGCACAAGTGATTAATAAGGATAACTTGAAGATATTCTGTGTGAATCTACTAGAGAAGTATGTCCTCTATCTGAATTTTGCTGGGGAATTGTATGTAATTTATCTTATTTTGTATAAATTGCGATGATTAGTGGAAAATGCCCCCTTGTATGATGGTAAGTTGAATTTCTCGTAAAACATTTTCTTACGAAGTAAAATTTAGACTTGCCCCTAGCACTTTATATGTACCAAAGATCACGATGAATTGACTTATGTAACAAACTTTTCACAAGAATTTTGTTTTGCACTTGTGCCGATGCGATTTGTGTGCAAGCAATTTAGGAATTCATGTGGCCGTCACGTGATCAACAAAGTCATGTGACATCACAAAAATGCTTTATTATAATACCTGATTTGACTCTCATCACAAGTTGACTACAAATTCATACATAGATAAAATATTGAAAATAAAATCTAGCTCAAAATAAAATATATATATTTAATGTATACGAAGCCTTCGGACAGCCTTAACATAGCTGCGTTATCGTTTGCAGTGATTTTTTTTTATTTTTAGCTTTCCTGAACCGTTGTCTGTCGTCGCTGTCGTGGTCGTAAATTTTTCATAAATTCATATTCTTCCCAGACTTTTTGACCAATTTCAACCAAGCACAAAGTAAACTTGGGTAAAGGGGATTCAAGTTTGTTCAAAGGAAGGGTCAGACCCTCTTCAAAGGGGAGATAATTACAAATAAATGAAAAATTAATAGCATTTTAAAAAATCTTCTTCTCAAGAAACACTAGGCCTGGAAAGATGAAACTCATGTGGAATCATCCTCAGGTAGTGTAGATTCAAGTTTGTACAAATCATGACCCCCGTGAGTTGGGTGGGCCACAATGGACGATCAAAGTTTTACAAAGGAATTTATAGGGATTTTTTAAATTTTTTTTTTTCTCAAGAACAGCAAAGCCATGATTAATCATATTCATGTGGAAGCATACTCAGGTGGTGTAGATTCAAGTTTGTTCAAATCATGACCCTTTGGGGTAGAGTGGGGCCACAACGGACGACCAAAGTTATACTTAGGAGTATATAGAAAACGATTTTAACAATCTTCTTCTCAAGAACAGCAAAGCTATAATTGGTCATATTTATATGAAAACATCCTCAGGTGGTGTAAATTCAAGTTTGTTCAAATCATGCCCCCGGGGGTAGGATGAGGCCACAATAAACGATCAAAGTTTTACATCGCAGATAGGATAAGGCTGTCCGAAGAATGTCACAGTGTACCTGCCGTAGTTACTTCTCTGAACTACCTTGATACATGTATGACGTCATAATGGCATATGACGTCAAGTCACTGCAAATTTGAGCAGACATGATGGGGAAAGTGTCATAACTTTTGCATTCCTTTCACATCACATGTAGAATTTTTTTTTACATCGATGTTTAATTCATGTGTCTGGATTGTTGTTTTAAGCTTCAATTTGCTATTATGATGGTGAATATTTGCAGTGTAATATCGTTATTCCTATTTGTCTGACAAGTACGTATTCAAAAGATTACAAAAAATAATGTGAAATTATCCCCCTTACACGTCCGTAGACAGGGTTAGAACTTATAAAACCTGCATATAATAGACTGGCACAAGTAAATAATAAGGATTAATTGAAGATACTCGGTGTGTATCTACTAGAGAAATATGTCTCCTAAATGAATTGTGCTTGGGGATTGTATGTAATTTATCCCATTTTGTATAAATTGCGATGATTAGTGGAAAATGACCCCTTGCATCCACTCCAAAATCTACCTGCAAATCTGGAGAAAATAACAAACTAGCTGTGGATCTTAATTGTGACCAATGCAGCAGTGGAGAGATCATCAAACAACTCTCTGAAATGGTTGAAACTTTAACACAGGAAGTTGAAAATCTAAAAAAGCAGTTGCTTCCTAAAAGAGAGACATGTAAAAGTACTTCAACTCAAACATCAAATAAATATCTGAAACAGAAAGGAACAACTACTGACGGTCTTCCTGTCTTAAACGGAGTCTCCAGACACACACAGTGCACCTTAACTGCCAACAGGACAGATTCAAGCACATCCACGGATGCAGAATCCAGTCCATATTTACCAAAGAGCCAAAAGACGAAGAAAGTACGGAGACAGCCAGAAGATGGGAAATCTGTGCTCTTGATTGGGAGTTCAATACTGCAGAGAATCAAAACCCGTGGATTACTGCCCTGTGTCCAAGTTAGCACAAACAGAGGAGCCCAAGTCTCTCATATTCGGGCAAAATTAGCTAAGATGAATGTCTCTTCCTACAGTAATGTGGTTATTCTTGCTGGGGGAAATGATGTCGGGAACAACCGTGACATGGAGGCCATTGAAAATGATCTTGTGGAAATTATCACCGATCTCAAGTCCTGAAATTCTAGTCTACAAGTGTTTATTTGTGAAGTGTTGGCAAGGAAAGATATCAATCTGTGCGAAATCAATAATATGATTCGATATGTTTGTGAGGAATACGGAGCTACAGTGATATCCACAACACAGGTGTTTAAGCAAGAGAAACCTCACCCGGAATTGTACTGGAAGGACGGAATCCATCTCTCTGACAAAGGAACATCTTCGTTACTCAGGATCATGCAAGGACATGTGAATATTTTGAAATGCGACAGAGTACAAGACCGCCTTAATACATCCCGTAAATACACCTGTCCATTCTGTGGTGAACAGGGCCATTCCGCACGAAACTGCAGGCATGGGAGAAAAGTTACTTGCTGGGAATGTGGCAAAGTTGGTCACAAACTTAAATTTTGTGCATATTAGGGAATCGGCGATGAATGTACAGCCGTCATCACAAATAACAGTTATCCTAGTTGTAAAAACCATTATGAAGTACTTAAAAACTTATGTCCAGAATGCAATAACGTAAAATGTAAATGTTTATATACTGCCATAGGCCTTAATTCAAACAAGCCACATATCCCTAAAATTTCTGTAAATTCATTATCAAAAAACGAAACTTCAGAAATTCATACAAACAATGATGCATTCAAAAAATTCAAAGCTCCTCATAAAAAGTATACAAATCATCCCCCCGAAAAATCTAGAAATTCACAATCACCATTTGGCCTAAATAATAAGGGACTAAAATTTGGGAATTTAAATGTTTGTCACATTTTGCCGAAATTTGATCAAATCCAATTACTTTTAAATAGTGAACAACCATTGAATGTGTTTGGGGTTTGTGAAACTTTTTTAAATGAAAAAACAGCTGATAATGAATTAAGTATAAATGGATATGTTTTTGAGAGAAAGGATAGATCATGTAGAGCAGGCGGGGGGCTTTTGGTCTATGTGTCTAAAGGTCTAAATTATAAGCGTCGAAATGACTTTGAACAAAATAAAATAGAAACAATATGGCTTGAAATTATAATTCCCAATTCTAAACCAATTTTCTATTGTTCTGCATATCGGCCCCCATCTGCTACTTCCAGCTGGGTTGATGAATTGGCTAGGGAGATAAATTGTGCCTCCCTCTGTGATGAAAGTGAAATTATATTAACCGGTGATTTTAATATTGACCTGCTCAAAGATCCCCCACGGTACTGGACCTCTGCTCTAGAGGAGTTTGATTTTACACAAGTAGTTCAATTACCTACTAGAATTACAAACACATCAAGTACACTTATTGACCATGTTTACACTAATTTACCCGAAAACATGAGTGAAATTCAAGTGCCCCCCCCCCCCCCATTGCTTTTTCAGACCACTACCCTGTGTGTTTCACAAGAAAAACAAATAAATTCTTTTTACATAAAAGGAAAGCACACTGAGATATCATATAGATGCTTTAAAAACTTCAATGAGATCGATTTCCTGAATGATTTACATAGTGCTAATTTTACATCACTGGAAAGCATATGTGACCCAAATGAAATTTTGAAAAACTTTTATACCCTATTTAACAAAGTATTAGACAAACA